GGGACACAGGAGGAGGCTGGTTCCGGTGGCAGTGCAGCCTCTTCCCCACTCTGTGCTGGGCTCGGAGTCCTGGTTCTGGGCCCTAACCTGGGTTTGCTCAAACTTCTCTACTGGCGACCCTGCTCCTCCCATGAGCTGCTTGTGGGTTTGTGAGGAGACGGGCCGGCTCCAGGCTGGAGTTTGAACCCATTAGTTCCCCAAAGTTACTAATTAAGGGCTGGGATGCTTCAAGTGTGAGTTTCAATACGTCATAGATAAAGGGGAAGCCGAGAGGCAAAGGGACGGGGAGAGAGAGAGAGAGCGGGGAGCACACTCAGAAATCTGGCATGGCCTGGTTCCTCTTCTCCTTTTCTCCATCATCCTCTTCTCTTTTTTCTCCATCGACCCCCTGGGAAAGTCCCCAGGGCAGATCTGGATCAAGCGGGGAGGGATGGCAGGGGCTCTGGAGTGGGTCCCTTCTAAATTGGATTCCGAGTGGTTTGGGCTTCAGAGTCAGGCACAGGGAGAAGCAGGGACTAAAGGGTGCCGGGGCCTCCCCCTGAGGGGCATTTCATTTCCCATCGTTGTGTCCCCCACAGGCTTCCGCTCAGCACTGTCCACTTCCTGTTCCTGATCTTCCTGAAGCTGCCCCTGTTCCTGGGCGTGCTCGTTGCTCTCCTCTGTGTGAGCAGGTGCCAGAAGGGCTCCGGAGGCGGACAGAGTCAGCCTGACCAGGGGACTCCACCATGCCACCCACCAGCTCCGGAAAAGCCCTGTATGGGAATACAGACCTTCCGACTGGACCAGAGAGACCTGGGGGCTCTGCACTCCAGGGCAGGGAGGCAGCAGTGCCTGGACTCTGCATGGACCTAAGCCTTTGGGGGGTATTGTTCCTGTGCCTCCAGGAGGGTCCTGGATCTCAGAGGACACGGCTCTGGTCCTCCACTGGGAGAAAGATGAATCTCCGGGCCCCTGTGTCGGGTCCTCCTCTGTCTCAGATCCTCCAGTATTCTCTGGAAGTTGCACTCTCAGAAAGCCTGGCTCTTTATCCTTCTCTGTGGCACAAAAACTCAGCTCAGTGTCCCCCAGGGCAATAACCACCTCCTCCCTGCAGACAGGAGGCTCCTGGATGATACGCCCCTCACAACTTCAGATCTTGAGCTCCCTGGACTCCATTGTCCCCTCTTCTCGGGGTCTCAAACCTAGAACACCACAAGAATGGGGTGTCATTTACAAACACAGGAAAGGCAGGCACAGGCTTGAGTGGTGCATAGCTTAGGTTACTCAGTGTGACCAAGCAGAGAAATCTAGCAGGAAGCCAGAGATGTGGGTTAGCAGAGCACTGATGCTGGAGAGGAGTCGGAGGGAGAGGTGAAATCTTCAAGGGAAAAGTTCAGAACCAAGGACAGAGCATTTGAAGACCCTACAGCTAGGAGCCAGGCCTTTGGGGTTCTGTATTTTCTTCAATGGATCTGTGTGTCTGTCCCTCCTCTCATGTCACATTTCTTGATTACTGTAGCCACAGCAGTAAATCAGCAACAGGTTAAGTGACTGCTTAGCAAGAGTAGCGAGTACAGGCAGATATAATTCCTCCCTCTTTATTCTTTTTCAAAATTGTTCTAGTTATTCTAGTTCCTTTGCCTTTCTGCATACAGAAAGCTTATCTTTAGCTACCAAAAAATCTTGCTATGGCTTTGGTAGGAATTGTGTTAAAGTTATCCTATATAATAAAAGGCTAATATTCAAATTGTTTCCTTGATCGGGAGTTCAACCAGGAGTTTGAGCTGGCCCTCCAACAGTCTGAGGCCCCTTGCCCCGGTTGGCCAGGCCCAATCAAGCTCGATCAGGCCTCATCCATGCACGAATTCATGCACTGGGCCTCTAGTAGATTAATATTGTGAAATGGGTATCTTTATGATCTTGAGTGGGATCTCATCCACAAACGTGGTGCAGTTCTTTGACTTCCACCATCAGCATTTTGTAAATTTTTAGCATAAAGTGCAGTTCATGTTCTGGTGGATTTATACCTGGGTAGGGTACTTCTTCCTTTGAGGGGAGCATTTGTCAAATACTGTGTTTTTCATTTCAGTTTCTTCATGTTTGTTGTAGAATATAGAAATATAGAAATACTAGAGGTCCTTTGCACAAAGATTCGTGCAATAGGTCTTCTTTCCCCTGGCTCTCAGCACCAGGTTTTCCTCTGGCACCTGGTACCCAGGCCTTTGCTCTGGCCACCACCTTCCTCTTTCTCCAGCAGGAGTCTTTGCTCCAGTTGGCTAGAGCCTTCAGTGTTTGTTCCAGCTGGAGCCTTCCATCTTCTCTGCACCATCCAGAGCACTGCTCCTGTAGCTCCCTCCTCCCCCCATTTCTCCCTCATAGCAGGTGTCCTGCCCAGCCACTCTGTATCTGTATATGCAAATTAACCTGCTATCTTATTGGGTTAGTTTACATACTCACACCTGATTGGCTGTTGGGCATTGCGAAGTTACAGTCAATTTGCATATTTATATTTTGTGCGTGTCTCAATTTTGTCCCTGTGACCTTGTAAACTCATTGATCAGTTCTAGCAGTCTTTTGGTAGATTGCTTGGGATCTTCTTTGGAGACAATCATGCCATGTGCAAGAAAGACACTTTTATTTTTTCTTTTCTAGTGGGTATGCTTTAAAGGAGTCCTGGAGGCCCCAGGGAGCTCCTGGGAGCTTTTAAGCACTTGGATGGCTTTTGTGAGCACGTGGCATCAAAAATCCATGGTTTCCAGGCATTTAAACGTTTAAACGAGAAGCCCAAAGTGAAATCCCTCCTGTCTGGCATCAAACTCCATTAAAAATATTGTGATCAAAATGGAACAGGCTTGCGAGTCCCTGCAAGTCCTGGGTGCAGGATGTAATCTCTGAGTGAAGCGGAGAAATTGTGAAGCATTGCTGTGTCTGCCCAGCACTTACGCCTGGGACCATATGGCACCCTCAGCAGGTTTGGGAACTGACCTTCTCCAGGCACAGATGGACCTGTGGGGACCACGTGCGGGCCTGCCTGGGCTGGCTCAGGCCAGGTCCAACTCTGCTCCCTGACCTCGTGATTGGGGAGCAGGGGCCTCACCCTTCAAGTCTTCTTGTTCTCACGTGACATGAAAATGCTGGGTTAAGACTTGCACGAGGGCAGTTTTAAAACATGGATGAGCCTAACCAGCATAGCCCAGTAGATGAGCATTGACCTATGACCCAGGTGGTCGAGATTTGATTCCCTGGTCAGGGTACATGCCCAGGTTGTAGGCTTGATCCCTGGTTGGGGCATGCAGGAGGCAGCCAATCAATGACTTTCTCTCATCATTGATGTTTCTATCTCTCTCTCCCTCTCCCTTCCTCTCTGAAATCAATAAAAAATATTTTTTAAAAATGGATGAAAACCAGAGGGGTGGGGGGTAGGGGATTGGAATGGGGGGTTGAGGACAAATATATGATACCTTAATCCATAAAGAAATTTAAAAAAAAGGATGAAAATCCCTTGAACCCACTTCTCCTTCACGTTGGGGTTCTGTCCCCTCCCCTGAAGTGTGTGGGTGGAGGCTGCTTCAACCAGGACACACAGTAGCGTTTCTCTACGCTTTTCCCATCATCCTCTTTCTAAGGAACCTGTTTAGATACTTTCTTTTTCTGAAACTCTCCCCTTCCCCCCAAATTTTAACAAAAAAAGATATGTTTTTGACCAAACTACTCATCTCTCCACCACCTCTATTAGTATCTTGGCTGAGATGACAATATCCTAGGTGTTTACCCTTAAAAGAACTTATTAAACCAATAAACTCAGTGTGCGAAGGCTTTGTAATTTTTGAGATATAAATACACCTTAATAATTACTTTTAAAAATAAAGAAAATAATATTTTAAATTTTCTCTTAAAAGTCCTCATGGCTCTAGCAAGTTTTGCTCAGTGGATAGAGCGTTGGTTTGCATACTGATGGGTCCTGGGTTCGATTCCAGTCAAGGGCACATACCTCGGCTACAGGCTCCAGACCTAGCCCTGATGGGTCACATGTGGAAGGAAACCAATCCATGTGTCTCTCTCACATCCATGTTTCTCTCGGTGTGTCTCCCCCTCCCTTCCACTCTCTAAAAAATCAAAGGAAAAATATCCTCAGGATTAACACAAACAAACAAACAAACATCCCCATGTTTTCTTTTATTCACTCCTAGCCTTCAGTTAGTTTGCATCTACACAAGGGGACCCAAGGGGGTCCTCTCTGGGGGACAGAAAGATATCTGCCAGGCTCCTCCCCTCTCCCCTCTCCTAGCTCACAGGCAATCCTGTGAGACACACCTGACCCTGGTGCTTGATTCAGGGCCCCTTCACGCGCTCTCGAATGTATGGAAGCAGTGCAGCAACCCATGTAATCTCAAAGAGCCCAGGAAATCCGTCTGTGTGATAGGAAGCACACAGGAGACGCGTCGGTGGGAGCTGGAGATGGTCTAGCCCTGTCTTTGATTGTCTGTGCTCAGGTGATTCTCCAGAAGGTTCCAATGCAAAAGGAGGTGCGGTCAGCAGCCCTCTGACACCTCCTGTGGTGGTGGCAGCAGTGGTGGTGGCGGCAGTGGCGGTGGCGGTGGCTGTGGCGGTGATGGTGGTGGCAGTCGTGGTGGCGATAGCGGTGGCGGTGGTGGTGGTGGTGGTAGTGCTGGGGTCTATGCCCTTATAGACACACTCTGAGCTTTGGGTTTAATCCAGGCTCTGTTGGTCTGGACTCTTGCTTCCATTATTGGCCAGAGCCCCAGACAGTGTCATGCTCCATGACCTTGGGCAGAGCCATAGCAGAGTCATAAGGAAATGAGGCATCCACACAGGGAGGACTGCAGGTGCTCCGAGGACCCAGGGCGTGAGGGAGCACCCCGCTTTTCCTGTCTCACTCCTTCGGTGGAGACCAGGGTCTGGATCTGTCCGAGAGGGGCAGCCGACTGTTCCCGAGGGCCCTCCTCTCTCCGGGAACTACAGCCACTGCCCACCCGCTGATAAGACAGCAGGGGCTTCTGCTAGTCCCGGATGAGGGTCTCGATGGTGTGGGGACTGTGGTCTCCTGCGAAGACAGACCTATTTCCCCTTGGGGTCCCCCTGCTCCTGCTCCGCCACATCAGGACACACAGCAGGCCCCCAAGCAGGGGCAGCTTGATGACAGTCAGGAGCACCACGTGCAGGTTGCAGAGCAGGAACCTGTGCAGGGAGCGTGGCCACAGGCGTGAGACTCTTCTGGGGCAACCCTGTCCCCCTCAAACACCCCCACCTCCCAGGGCTCAGACTGGGGTGACAGGAAGCCCCGGCCTCTCTCCTGGCCAGGAAGGCCCCACTGAGGGGCTCGGTCCTGCTGCCCAAGGGCTAAGCGGCAGGGGCCGCCCTGCTGGCTCAGGCTGGGGTCCAGCACCCTTTGCCTGTTTCCCTCCTGCCTTTTGGCTCATCTCCCACAATGCATTGCAGCTCACCCACAGTCCAGCCAAGCTCCATTCTACTCTTCTCTCCACCCCCGCCTCCCTCGGTACATCCTGCCCATCTAGAAGGTCTGGTCTTTGAAGCAGAGGATGGTCCCGTTCCCTGTAGGCACAGCTTTCTCTGCGGGGCTCTCCTGGGAGGGGCCTCTCGCGGCTCTGACCCCCCACTAAGGGCACAGGTGAGGTGCACTTGCTCATGTATCCCCCTTGGTGGACACCTGGCCCAGTGAGACAACTGGGGCCCGGGTTCCTATCCGGGTACAAGAATCTGGTCCCCTTGCCCTACACCTCATCCCCTGTCCCTCAGCCTGTCTGAGCAGGGTGAGTCATGCTGATGTCACTGACCGTTTTCTGGAGGGAGGGAGGGTGTCACATGTCCTAAACATATCCACTGAGCGCTCTTTACAAGTCCTGCTCCCCGCGGCATCCCCCCCCCCCACACACACACCCCTTTCCTCCTCTGCCTTTCCAGCCTCGATAAAAGCCCGCCCTCTGCACCCTCCACTCGACAGAACAGCCGCTCTCCGAACTGGACAAAGCCGGCCCTGAAGCCCCGTTCGGGCTCAGCACTGAACCAACTGGCCAGCGGGGTCCAGCCCCCAGGAATGGGACCCAGGAGGAAGGAAGGGGCTGGGCTGGAGCAGGAGAGTGAGCACGTGGAGGGTGATCCTGAGAGGCAGGCGCCCCGGGCAAGAAGGGAGCCTGACCCTGGATTTCGGGGAACCCACCGGGCTGTGATGGGATGGATGGGGGGGGGGTGCTCTTCGATGGAGGAACTCATGGACTGCCCTTCGGGAGCCCCTGGAGGGCGCGGACCTCAGGGTGATGCCCTCAGCTTCCCACCCCTTCCTCTCATCGCCCCAGCCTGCGGGGGAGGAGGGCTGGAGCAATGAGCATGTTTCTACCTGGGACTGTGGCAGAACAATGATCCCCAAGCCGCCCTCACCCCCAGGACCTCTGAGTGCGTTACGCTACGTGGCAAAGGGGCACTCAGGCTGCAGGTGGACTTCAGTCCCTAACCAGCTGGCTGAAAGGTGAGGAGATGGATCATCCTGGGTTATCTGGCTGGATCCCAGGTAATCACCAGGCTCTTTGCAGGTGAGCGATGGGGCCACGAGCCAAGGAATGTGGGTGACCCTAAAAGCTGGAGAAGTCGGGGAACAATCCTTCCCTGGCTCTCCAGAGGGACTCCGCCCTGCCAGCACCTTGATGTTAGCGCAGGAGCCTCCCCCCCCAGACTTCTGACCTCCAGAACTATAGGACCAGAGCGAGCTTGTTCTAAACCCCCGAGTTAGCGGTGATTTGTTACAGCAGCCACAGGACACTAATACAGCGTACCTTCCTCCTAGCGCACTTGAAGCTGAACCCACTACACTTCCTCTTGCTTCCTGGAGGGGAGGAAGGGGCGAAACCAGAGGGAGCCAGAGCCTGAAGCCCCATTGAGGGCTCTGTTTAGGTTCCACGTGGGGGGGGCGGGGTTCCTTAAGCCTGCAGAGGTCAAAGGTTGCCGTGGAGGTGCAGTACAGGCTCTGCTGTTTCTCTCCTGCATGGGGTACCTCAGAGTGGCGCCCTGGGGGTCCCTGACAGAGAACCCCTAGGGGGGCAGTTACAGGGGGTGGCGAGGAAGGCCTGCAGGGGCCCATCTCTGCTCACCTGGTGAGGGATCTGGTGAGAGCTATGCTGCTGTTGCCGCTCTGGGCGATGGGAGGCGAGGCCGCCAGACTGACCGATGCGGTTTCTGTCACAGATTCAGCCGTGTACGGTGACGTCAGTTCAGTCATACCTGTTGTCTCCAGTTCAGCCGTTTGTGTTATCACAGGTAGAGCTGCATGTGTTAACAACATAAGTTCAGCCATGTTGGTTGACACAGGCCTAGCTGTTTTGGAGACCTGGGTACAGGCGAGTCTGCTGTCTGCTAGTACGTTTAGTGGGAGTGAAGAGGGGGTGGTTTCCCCGATTCCCAAAATGGAGACAAGACTGCAGGCTCAGGAAGCTGACCTTGGGGCGGGGCTACCACCTGACTCTCCTTCCGGGTCTCTGATGCCAGGGGAGCTCAGGTACTTCCGGGCCAGGCGTGGCTGAGCCCAGAGGCCCCATCGGGGCTCAGAGGCAGCCAGGGGAGGCCTGTGGGAGCCCCTGCCCCATGGTGAACCCCTCCCTTCTGCCACTAATGAGCTCAGAGTCCCTCACCCCCTCCTTTGCTCTTAATATGTTTTTAAAAATTGATTTTAGAGAGAGGGGAAGAAAGTGAGAGAGAGAGAGAGAGAGAGAGAGAGAGAGAGAGTTCAATTGGCTGCCTCCCATATAGGCTCCCACCAAGGATCAAACCTAAAACCTGGCCTAGCTGCAGAATTGAATGGTCCCGGGTTCAATTTAGGTCAAGGGCATGTGCCCGGGTTGTGGGCTTGATCCCCAGTAAGGGGTGTGCAGGAGGCAGCCAATCAATGATTCTTTCTCATCATTGATGTTTCTCTCTCTGTCCCTCTCTCTTTCTCTCTGAAATCAATAAAAATATATTAACAAACAAACAAACAAACAAACAAAAAACCTGAAACCTAGGTATGTGTCCTGACCAGGAATTCAACCAGTGACCTTCTGGTGCACGGGACGATGCTCAACCAACTGAACCACACTGGCCAGGGCTCCTTTGCTCTCATGGAGCCAGAGGAGGGAGAGGAAGGGGGGTGGGCAGGGACAGGGCCAGTTGTCCAGTGGCTGAGGCAATCGGATAAGGGCTTTCCAACACCCCACTCCTCCCTGCACAGCCCACAGGGCCCCGGGGCCGGTCGGGCTGGGGCTGCTCTGAGGATAGAGGCAAAGCCCGAAAAGCCTGGAGAAGAGGAACCTGGCTCTGGACAAGCCTGCCCATGTGCAGCGGGCCCTTCTCTGCCCCCTGGTGACACTAGATGGAGGCGCACAGACATGCTGAAGCTGGCTCTTTCCGTCCAGACTCTTGGCGTACACCCCCAGGCACCTATGTGACCACACATGTGGTCTCCTGCCTCCTCCCCACCTGTCAGTGCAGGCAGAGGGAGCCTTCTGCCTGCTCCATGGCCGGCCCCGGGCTCCGAGGACCCGAGGGGCGGGTCCTACCTGGACCAACGTACACGTGCACTTGGTGGCCCAGGTCGGTTCCTGGCCTCTCGATCCCGCACCAGTAGGCGTCCTGGTCGCTCGCCTGGAGCTCCTCCATGGTCACGGTGAACAGGCGCCTGTGGTGGTTGTCCTGGATGGACATGCGGCCGCTCCTCACCATCCGGTCGGACCCCGTGGTCCTAAGGAGGGTGTGGCAGGAACCCCAGGCCTCCCCGCGGCACCACCACTTGGAGTAGCTCTCATAGCCTGGGTCGTAGCGGCACTGGATGGTCGCCGAACCCCCTCGGGGACCGCTCACGGACCCCGGGCCGGACATGGAGAAGCAGCCTGCAAAACAAGCCCAGCTCGCACCCCTGCCCGCAGCCCAGGGCTGGCTGCCCACAGCCCGGGGCTTCGGGCCCCGCCCCGGGCCCCCGGCAGCCTCTGGGTGCTCACACCCCGCCTCCTGCTTGTTCCTTAGTCCCCAGCAAGGTTCCTTTTCCGGTCACCTCTCCTGCGAAGGTCCCTTTGGGATCTGAATGCCCAACACAGGCCTCTGCCCGCTCCCCCCGCCCCGTTCCGGGGATCCGCCCCTCCTGCACTCCTCCTCCCCCACCTGCCCCCAGGCCGCAGGCTCACTTCTCCTCCTGGCCTTTAATCCTCACCCGAGGGCATTTTCCCACTGGTTTTCAGAGAGTGGAAGAGGGAAGGAAAGACTGAGAAAAACAGTGATGTGAGAGGAAGATTGACTGGCTGCCTCCTGCATGTGCCCTGACCAGGGCCTGGGCCAGAGAGAAGCCCGCCACCGAGATACATGCCCTTGACCGGAATTGAACCCGGGACCCTTTGGTTTGCAGGCCGACACTTTATCCACTGAGCCAAACTGGTTCGACCCACAGGTTTATTTGTGAATCCTAGAGCGATGAGGTTACATCTGGGCTTCCTCCGTCCTCTACACACCTAATGCCCTCACCTTCTGACTCTGCACAGGGGATAGAGCTGCAGGAACTAAACACACACTCATGCACACACACACTCACTCACACACTCACACACACTCACACTACACACTCACAGCACACCTGCACACACACACATCATAAACACTCACAAACAGACACACTCACACACACACACACACACACACACACACACTCACACACCCACACACACACACACACGCACACACACTCACACACTCACACTCACACACCCACCCACACACACACACACACGCACACACACTCACACACTCACACTCACACACCCACCCACACACACACACACGCACACACACTCACACACTCACACTCACAGCACACATGTACACACACATCATAAACACACACACAGCACACACCCTCACACACACGCACACACTCACAGCACACATGTACACACACATCATAAACACACACACACTCACAGAACACACACACACTCACATACTCACAGCACACACGCACACACACACACATCATAAATACTCACACACAGCACACACACACTGACACACTCATGCACACACTCATAGCACACATGCACACACACACTTGCACACACACACTCACACATGCACTCACACACTCACACAGACACAAACACACTCACACTTTTTTCCTTTTTACCTTGAAAACCATGCTCTTTGTGTCTCCAGACCTTGGCACAGCGTTCCCTCCCACCGAAGGTTCTCGGTGTTGAAGGAATCAAACCTTTACCCCATCCCTCCAGGCTCAGCTCACGGATCCTCTCTCCTAAGGTTCCCAGATTCCATGGCCAACACAGCCCTCCCGAAGCCGCCGTACCACTTTGTCCTGTCTCCTTCACTGCCCTGACCTCGCTGGATGACCGTCTGGCCATGGTTCCACCGGAGCCGAAACTCAGGCAGGAGGATGAGTGGCTGGACCCACGGTCCAGAGCGCCTGCCCAACCTGGCCTCGCTGCCCGTCCCTCCCTGGACTTGAGCGCTTTCCTGGAGGCTTCCCCGCTCGAGCTGCAAGCCCCACCAGCTGCCAGGCTTTGGAACCACCCAGACCCCGAGCCCCATCGTGACAAGATGGATCTGGGTTGGAGCCCGAGCATCTGTGTTCCTGAAAGCTGCTGAGGAGGATTCGCCACGACCCGTCCATCTGTGTCCACAGCGCAGCCCGGCTGAGGGACACTGGCCGGAGGGGCCCTTGTGTTCGCTGGGTTTCTGTTTCTCTCCTGCACCTACAGAGCCCTGTGAGGGAGCAGCGCCTCGGTTTCCACTTCACCCAAAGGGCCTGGATGCTGCCAGGGCCCTGCCAGTAGCCCTGACGTGTCCCGCCCCCCGGGACAGACCCGCTGGCTTCCTGCCAGCCTCGCCACCCCAGCTCCTGAGACCCCGGCCCCACTCACCTGGGACGATGAGCAGGAGCAGGGGTGGGAGCAGCCACATGGTCCTGCCTGCGGGCTCCCTCCCTGGTCACCGCCAAATGCCAGTGCCCTCCTGAGCGGAGCCAGGCGCTCACTGCCCTCGATTTGTCTAAATCATAACATTTTGTTTCTCTCATCGACTTCCCTTAATTTCCATCTTCCGTCACTTCCTCATTTCCTTAGGTAGCAGACGGGCAGTGTCATCATTTACGAGCACATGGCTCCGTGACTCCAATGGTTTGGGGGAGGCAAAGCGTCCAGACCTGGCCAGGGTCCATCTGGAGTGTGTGTGTGAGGAGCTGAGAAGGTGGCTGCAGGCACAGCTGCAGGGCGAGCAGCGGGGCGGGAAGAGCCCAGAGCTCGGGCGAGGGAGTGACCGGCCGGTGCTGGGAGTGCCCTTTGTGGGGGACACAGCCCTCAGGGCTCATTCCCAGTCTGGCCGAAGGGACAGCCCCATCCTGGCCCCACTGCAGGCAGCCCCACCACAGGCCACTCAGACCCCCTTCGTGCCCTGAGCCATTGTCTCCCCTGAGCTGGACCCCCTGACCACCCCCTCCCCTCCACCCCCAGGACAGCTTCCTCCCAGGTCCTGAGTCACTCTCAGGCTTGGGGACATGATAGGGAAGGAGAAGTGGCTTTCTGTCTTCCATGCCTTTTCCCCTACATCTCTGCAGTTCTGCTGGCTGTGGGTCTTGGCAAACTCACTGTGTGGACACGGCTTATGCTGAAGAGCCTCTCCCCTCCCCCTCCGGAAGCCCCTTTCCTCCTTCTCTCTCACCGGTCCTCTCCCTCTCCTGCTCCCCCCCACACCCGCATGTCCCCCAATCTCCTGGAGTCTGTCCTAGAATCCTTGTCTCCAGGGAGTGTCCCTTCCTGGCTGTGTGACATCAGCTCTGAGCACAGGACCGTCCCAAACACACCCTCCCGCCACCCCATCCCCTGGTCGCTAATAGGCTGTCACTGGCGATGCCGAGAGCCCACAGCCAGTGACAACAGCAAGGGCGTGGGGGAAAGCATCCAGGACAAAAGGAGGCTGAAGCCACTTCTTCCTCATAAGGTCCCCAGGGCCTGATCACTGCTTCCTCCCCAAAGGGCACACCCAGTGCGAGTCAGTCACTCCCTCACCCCGAACTCTGGGCTCTTCCCGCCCCGCTGCTCGCCCTGCAGCTGTGCCTGCAGCCACCTCCTCTGCTCCTCACACACACTCCAGATGGACACTGGCCGGGCCTGGATGTTTTGCCTCCCCCCAAACCATTGGAGACACAGCAGTCACTTACTCGTAATTGACAATACTGCCTGTAACCTACATAATGAAATGAGGAAGTGACAGAAGACAGAGATTTAAGGGAAGCAGGTGAGAAAAACAAAACACAATGACTTAGACAAATCGAGGGCAGTGAGCGCCTGGCTCCGCTCAGGAGGGCACTGGCATTTGGCGGTGACCAGGGAGGGAGCCCGCAGGCAGGACCATGTGGCTGCTCCCACCCCTGCTCCTGCTCATCGTCCCAGGTGAGTGGGGCCGGGGTCTCAGGAGCTGGGGTGGCGAGGCTGGCAGGAAGCCAGAGGGCCTGTCCCGGGGGGCGGGACACGTCAGGGCTACTGGCAGGGCCCTGGCAGCATCCAGGCCCCTTTGGGTGAAGTGGAAACCGAGGCGCTGCTCCCTCACAGGGCTCTGTAGGTGCAGGAGAGAAACAGAAACCCAGCGAACACAAGGGCCCCTCCAGCCAGTGTCCCTCAGCCGGGCTGCGCTATGGACAGAGATGGACAGATTGTGGCGAATCCTTCTCTGGGTCTTTCAGGAACACAGATGCTCGGGCTCCAGCCCAGACCCACCCCGTCATGGCGGTGCTCAGGGCCTGGGTGGTTCCAAAGCCTGGCAGCTGGTGGGGCTTGCAGCTCGAGCGGGGAAGCTTCCAGGAAAGCGCTCAGGTCCAGGGAGGGACGGGCAGTGAGGCCAGGGTGGGCAGGCGCTCTGGACCGTGGGTCCAGCCACTCATCCACCTGCCTGAGTTTTGGCTCCGGTGGAACCAAAGGCCAGACCGTCATCCAGTGAGGTCAGTGCAGTGATGGAGACGCATGGAGTCATATCACAGGGAGGGAGACCAGGAGGCTAATTCTGGGCTGAATGTTAAGTCTTTGGGTAGAGCTGGGGCTGGATGCTCAGAGAGGAAAGGGTCTAGGGAGGTGGGGCCATTGGACTGCCCAGCTCTGCTGCTTCTCGTCCTCCCAGGTGAGCAACCAGGGAAGCAGATCCACAGCCTCGGGGCGGGTTGCCCTGGGTCCTCCTGGCTCACCCCGGAGAACCTCCCATCGCTAGGTCTGCACCCATGAGGGCTCATGAGCTTGTCCCTTTTCTCACTTGTTAGCTCTTGCCTTTCTAGTAGGTTTAAGAAGACACATGAGCCGGGACCGGTTTGGCTCAGTGGATAGAGCGTCGGCTTGGAGACTGAAAGGTCCCAGGTTCGATTAAGGTCAAGGGTATGCACCTTGGTTCCGGGCATATCCCCAGTATGGGGTGTGCAAGAGGCAGCTGATCGATGACTCTCTCTCATCGGTGTTTCTAACTCTCTCTCTCTCTCTCTCCCTTCTTCTCTGTACAAAATCAATAAAATATATTTTTTTTTTTAAAAAGAAAGACACATGAGGCTGTAGCTTCAGTGCTTTTATCTTATAAGATAACTTGTTTTAGAAAACTGGAACTGAAATGTAGGCGAGTCAACGGAGAACATGGGATCAGTGTGATATGGATTCCGTAGTTGGCATCACTGCTTTGGTCAAGGTCAAAGGCCCTGCAGCCGGGGTGCTTGCTATGGAACCACTAGACCCACTAGGAGCAGCCTCTGCACAGCCAGGGGAGCGGATGCAGCAGCTGGACCTCCTGAGGCCACCAGCGCAGGTCAGGAGCAAGCTCACTCATCTGGAAATGGGTCCCCTGGCACTTCCTCCCCGAGAGACCATTTTAACACAGAGATGCCGCAAAAGGACAACGATTTAGGAGCCACAGGGAGCAGGAGGGAGTGAATTATAGGAGGGAATGATTGCTCAGACTCAATGTCTTTGTTTCCTGGAGCTCTGCTATTGCTCTGAGCCAGTGGCACTTTGAAGGACAAAGGTCTGCGTTGTGGCAGGTGAATTCCTTCTTTGACTCTGTCCCACTCATCAGGCCTTGGACTTGTTGGAGCTGCTCCAGTGCAGGTGGCTGTGGCTCTGGTCTCGGGGTGTAGATGAGGGGGTAAGATGACAGGTACATGGATTTGTTTTCCAGGCTCATCAGGAGACATCTCGGGTCCAGAAGCAGTGAGAGGTCTGGAGGGGGAATTGCTGACTGTGCAGTGTCACTATAAACCAGGGTGGGAGGTCTCCAGGAAGTGGTGGTGTCGAGGGGCTGATTCTGGCAGCTGCAAGACCCTTGCTATAACCAATGGATCAACGTTTGGGATGAAGGAGCGTGTGTCCATCAGGGACGATCGGACAAACCACTCGTTCACTGTGACCATGAAGGAGCTCAGGCGAGAAGATACAGACACTTACTGGTGTGGGATCGAGAGAAGTGGACGTGACCCTGCGGTCCCTGTTAGAGTGACCGTTGACCCAGGTAAGAGCACCTGCATGTGTGTCTGTGTCCTTTCAGGGCCTGCTCTGTCCTGGTACCTGAGATCCCTCTCCAGTGGCTGATCTCACTCAGATGAACTGCCACACAGGGGGTTGGTCCTGAGGTCTCAGGGAACCCTGGCTGCTCACGTGGGTTGGGAGGTGCAGGGCTTCTCTTACATGCTCTGGGACTCAAGATGGGATCAAGCCTTTCTGGGCACATTTTTCCTCCGCACAGCTCATTGCCTGGGTCCATTGCCCTTAGAGACCACGGGGATGGCCCCAGGTTTAGCTCATGGGCAGAAGGTAGCCTCTTCTGTGGGACCAGGTTCCTGCCAAGGCTTCCTTGGCATGTCTGGTGCCCTAGTGTCCCTGCTCTTCCTGAAATCCCATCATGAGCCATTGACACATCTGTGCTCAGAGACACTCTCTTCTTAAGACCTTCTAGAACAGACGCTCCTGGGAGATCCGGGTGTGAACAAGTGTATGTGCTGGGCTCTGCTGCTGCCCACCCTCGGTCAGCCAGCACCAGCTCACAGCGCACTTATGGCCGGGACGGAACACACTCACAGTGCTCCCACCACACCTGGAACCCGGGAGGCCTGGGTAGCTGCCAAGTGCAGCACCTTCCTCTTCTCACGGGACCTCGAGAAGGATCCTGAGAAGGAGCTACCCCATCACAGAGGCTTAAAAACTTGTCCAAAGCTGCCCCCCAGCTGCCCAGGACCTGAGCCATCCCTGGGCCCCTTCACCCTTCCAGGGCCCACAGCCAGTGCCACACGCAAGGGCGTGGGAAAAAGCAAACAGGACAAAATGAGGCTGAAGCCAAAGACCACTTCTTCCTCATAACGTCCCCAAGGCCCCGAGCGCTGCGTCCTCCCCAAAGGGCACTCCCAGCGAGAGTCGGTCACTCCCCCACCCCGAGCTCAGGGCTCTTCCCCGGGGCCCGCTGCTCGCCCTGCAGCTGTGCCTGCAGCCACCTTCTCAGCTCCTCACACACACACTCCAGATGGAACCCTGGCCGGGCCTGGACGCTTTGCCTCCCGCAAACCATTGGAGACACAGCAGCCACGTACTCATAAATGATGACACTGCCTTTCTCCCACCTAACGAAATGAGGAAGTGACAGAAGGTAAAAATATAAGGGAAGCAGGTGAGAGAAACAAAACACAACGACTTAGACAAATAGAGGGCAGTGAGCACCTGGCTCCGCTCAGGAGGGCACTGGCATTTGGCGGTGACCAGGGAGGGAGCCCGCAGGCAGGACCATGTGGCTGCTCCCACCCCTGCTCCTCCTCATCGTCCCAGGTGAGTGGGGCCGGGGTCTCAGGAGCTGGGGTGGCGAGGCTGGCAGGAAGCCAGCGGGTCTGTCCCGGGGGGCGGGACACGTCAGGGCTACTGGCAGGGCCCTGTCAGCATCCAGGCCCCTTTGGTTGATGTGGAAACCGAGGCACTGCTCCCTCACAGGGCTCTGTAGGTGCAGGAGAGAAACAGAAACCCAGCGAACACAAGGGCCCCTCCGGCCAGTGTCCCCCAGCCGGGCTGCGCTATGGACAGAGATGGACAGATTGTGGCGAATCCTTCTCTGGGTCTTTCAGGAACACAGATGCTCGGGCTCCAGCCCAGACCCACCCCGTCATGGCAGGGCTCAGGGCCTGGGTGGTTCCAAAGCCTGGCAGCTGGTGGGGCTTGCAGCTGGAACTGGGAAGCCTCCAGGAAAGCGCTCAGGTCCTGGGAGGGACCGGCAGCGAGGCCAGGGTGGGCAGGTGCTCTGGACCGTGGGTCCAGCTACTCATCCACCTGCTCACAGTGCAGGTAGCTGTGGCCTTGGTCTCGGGGTGGAGACGAGGGTGTAAGATGACAGGTACATGGATTTGTTTTCCAGGCTCATCAGGAGACATCTCGGGTCCAGAAGCAGTGAGAGGTCGGGAGGGGGAATTGCTGACTGTGCAGTGTCACTATAAACCAGGGTGGGAGGCCTCCAGGAAGTGGTGGTGTCAAGGGGCTGATTCCGGCAGCTGCAAGACCCTTGCTATAACCAATGGATCAGCGTTTGGGATGAAGGAGCGTGTGTCCATCAGGGACGATCGGACAAACCACTCATTCACTGTGACCATGAAGGAGCTCAGGCGAGAAGATACAGACACTTACTGGTGTGGGATCGAGAGAAGTGGACGTGACCCTGCGGTCCCTGTTAGAGTGACCGTTGACCCAGGTAAGAGCACCTGCATGTGTGTCTGTGTCCTTTCAGGGCCTGCTCTGCCCTGGTCCCTGAGGTCTCTCTCCAGAACTCACTCAGATGAACTGCCACAGAGGGGGTTGGTCCTGAGGTCTCGGGGAACCCCGGCTGCTCACGTGGGTTGGGAGGTGCAGGGCTTCTCTTAGATGCTCTTGGGGCTCAAGATGGGATCAAGCCTTTCTGGGCACATTTTTCCTCCGCACAGCTCATCGCCTCAGTCCATTGCCCTTAGAGACCACGGGGATGGCCCCAGGTTTAGCTCATGGGCAGAAGGAAGCCTCTTCTGTGGGAGCCAGTTCCTGCCAAGGCTCCCCTGGCACCTCTGATGTCCTGGTGTCCCTGCTCTTCCTGGAGTTTGGGGCCCGGGCTCATAGCTGCTGTTCCCACTCCTTGTCCACATGTGATCTCAGCGGGAAGGAGGCCCAGCACGGGTGGGGTGCTGTGGTTCACTCCTGAGGTCTGGCCTCCACAGACAAACAGTTGCATTCTGGGTGCCTGAAATCCCATCATGAGCCATTGACACATCTGTGCTCAGAGATGCTCTCTTCCTAAGACCTTCTAGAACAGATGCTCCTGGGAGCATCCAGGTGTGAACAAGTGTATGTGCTGGGCTCTGCTCCTGCCTACCCTCGGACAGCCAGCACCAGCTCACAGCGCACTTATGGCCAGGAGGGAACACACTCACAGCGCCCCCACCACACCTGGAACCCGGGAGGCCTGGATGGCTGCCAAGTGCAGCATCTTCCTCTTCTCACGGGATCTGGAGAAGGATCCTGAGAAAGAGCTACCCCATCACAGAAACTTAAAATCTTGTCCAAAGCTGACCCTTACTAGTCCTGAGGCAGTCCTGGGCCCTTCACCCTTCCAGGGCCTGCTCAATGTCCCCTTGGACCCAGACTCAACTGCCTCTGAGGCTCTGAGGCTCCCAGTAGCCAAGGAGATACGAGTGGTCCAGCAGGAGACCCCATCCCAAGGCTCCCTTCCAGGCCCCACAGGCGAGGACAGCCCACATTCCTCCCCAGCTCCAAGTTACATGCAGGATTGCGGGGGGCAGGGGGGCAGGGGAGAGGAGGAAAGGAAGTGTGTGGGGGGATTAGCAGGAGAGTGGAATGTAATCTTCTGTATGACACGCAACAACTACAGTGCTGACCTCCACCACCACCCTCACCTCCACTGTGAACACATTCACAGATGCCCCAGAACACACCACTGGCTCCCCGACTGTGACCAGCCACCACTCCGATGGCAGGTAAGTCAGCTTGGACGGTGATGTTCCTTCTGGCTCATTTGTCCCCAACTTCTCTCACACAGACATGGGGCGACCCCCACGGAGCTCAGAGCGTGGGAGATGGACGAGCAGGCGTTCAGGGCAGAGGGCATGGCTAGGATATGTGGGCACGGGTTTCATGGTGCCACAAGGCCCTTTGGTCCAAATTCTGGGAGAACAGGAAGGGCCTGGGGAAGTCCTTTACCCCAGTTACTGTTTTGGCAACAGCAGAGATCCTGATAGGCCCTCGTGTCTCTAGAGCCCCTGGCAGCTCACGGAGGACGTTCCTGTGTTATTCTGTTCATGTGTTAACATTGCCCGTGACCACCCCAGGAGGAGGGAACAGGCAGATGGACACACACGTTCCTATTTTACAAAAGAAGAAACTGAGCCAGGCTCATGTTTCCCAGCTCCGCAGTCACAAGAGCTTTCTGGAAGCTGAGAGGCCTCTTTCGTTTCTCCCCTTCCCCCTTCTTGGCCCTCTCGCTTTGCCTTTAGATCTGCTGTATGTTCTGCTGCTGGGTCTCCCACAGTCTCTATGGGACATCCCATCTTTCCAACCCAGGGAGGCTTCCCCCTCTCCCATTTGCTCTCTGCTTTGAGAGTTGCTTTCTACCGAACTACTTACTTACTTACTTTTTAAAGCATGTTCTTAATGATTTGAGAGAGAGAGAGAGGAAGAAAGAAGGAGAGAGATAGAAACATCAATGATGAGAGAGAACCACTGATGGGATGCCTCCTCCATGCCCCCTTCTGGGGATCTTAGCCCACACGTTGGACATGTGCTCTGGCTGGGAATCAAATCAGCAGCCTGTTGGTGTTTGGAATGACACTCAACCAACTGAGCCACACCAACCAGGGCCGAACTGCTTTTAATAAGACTATGAAGCAGTTTTTAAATGCAAGAATCAAAGCCAGATGTAAGTGCCTATGAGGATTTTTGCACACATTATGGATAACTCACTCATTAAGCAACAAAGAACTATGGAGGCCCCCTCATATCCAGCACCAATTTAGGGAACACAGGGGGATAGGAGGGTGAACAGAGTAATCAAGCTGTCTGTCTGCCCTCCAATCAAGAGATGGTTAATGTAGCAAATAGAGCTAAGTAATTAACTGATGGATTTATTTTATGACTTTCTGTGAATTGTGACGAGTAAGAGATAATCCTTGTGTTTGTCCGCTCGGGTTGTCATCACAAAGCAGCGTCAGCTTAAACAACTTTCTTATGTTCTGGAAGCCAGGAGTCTCAGTCAAGGTGTCGGCCTGGTTGGTTCCTCCTGAGGCCTCGGTCCTTGGCTTGTAGATGGCTGTCTTCTCCCTGTGTCTTCCCATGGTTTCCCCTCGTGTGTGTCTGTGTCCCAGTCTCTTCTTATAAGAACCCCAGGCATTTCCTCCCAGAAGAGCAAGCCAAGGTGAGAAGAGTAAGGAATCAGAGAGAGAGTGTGGGGGCTGGTGGGGGCCACTGTCAGCCTGGGATCCCACACTCTGGGCACAGGGTACGCTGGGAAGAGGGGTCCTGGGCGGTAGTTCACTTTTGTCACTCTGTCCCTCCCGCAGGTTCCAGCTCAGCAGCACCCACTTCCTGCTCCTGATCTTCCTGAAGGTGCCCCTGCTCCTGAGCGTGCTCGGTGCCGTCCTGTGGGTGAACAGGCCTCAGCGGAGCTCGGGGGAGAGGCAGAGTCAGCCCCGCTCTGAGAACCAGTAGCTCCCACGATCATCGGTGTCGTGTGAAAGTAAGAAACTCCAATGGAAGGAAGATTGTCTAATTGTGAAATGACGGTGGACAGCAGGAACAAGGGAACTGCTTTATTTCTCGGTTGGCACAATTTCATCACGGTGTTGTTTTTCTGTTTCCCAAGAGCTCACGGGTGCTGTATTTCATAAGTTCTTGTGCGTCTGAGAGTGTTTGTTGCCAAAAGCAACGATCCTGGGTAGAGAATCCCCAGAGGATCCTGTCTTTTCTGGGAACGTGTAGATTTCCCTTCACGGCCCCTGGGATACCAGGCTGTGGTGACATCGGAAACCAGCCTCTTCCTTTCATATTCGCAACTTACACCCTCTGATCCGGGGTCTTCCCTGATCGGAGCACACGCAATTCTATCTTTGTCCTGGAAGCTCTGTAGCTTCAGGAGGTTCTAGGTGTGGGTCATTAGGAACCCCACCCCCTCCACTGGGACACTGTGGGTTTTCAGTTGCAGATGGAAGGGTTTCTTTATTTCAGAGTCATTTTAAATTCCATTCGATCATTTCTACTGGTGGCTTATTTTTCTCCTCCTTAGGGAGCATTTGTGGAATGTCCTTCCTCTGTCTCCTGCTGTGTCTGCCTCTCCAAACATGTTTATAGCATGTGCATTAAAATGCCACTGTTGGGCCCTGGCAGGTGTGTCTCCATGGGCTGGACTTCGCCCATGCACCGAAAGGTTGCTGGTTTGATGCACAGACAACACCCAGACCTGTAACCCAGCCTTTTCACATACAGGAATTTATCCCACAGGCATATTCACAAATGCGTATCAAGCCACACGTGCAAAGACATTCATTGAGGAATTGCATGTAGTCACAAAGAGCTGAAAACAACTCAAGTGCCCATCAAGAGGGAAAGAATGAAACAAATCGCGATATACAGACAGCATGTAAACTATGCAGCCATTGAAAGCAAAGGTCTACAGGCAGTCCTAGCCGGTTTGGCTCAGTGGATAGAGCGTGGGCCTACAGATGGAAGTGTCCTGGGTTCAATTCCAGTCAAGGGCACATGCCTGAATTGTGGGCTTGATCCCCAGTAGGGGACGTGCAGGAGGCAGCCGATTACTGATTCTCAACATTGCCAAGACTGTTTTGGCTCTGTGGATAGAGCGTTGGTCTGCGGACTGAAAGGTCCCAGGTTCGATTCCGGTCAAGGGCATGTACATTGGTTGCGGGCACATTCCCAGTGGGGGTTGTGCAGGATGCAGCTGGTCGATGATTTTCTCTCATCGATGTTTCTAACTATCCCTTTTCCTTCCTCTCTGTGAAAAATCAATAAAATATATATATAAAAAATGATTTTCATCATTGATGTTTCTATCTCTCTCCCTTTCCCTTCCTCTCTGAAATTAATAAAAATATATATATATATTTTTAAAATCTATAGGTATTGATATGGGGTGATTTTGAAAATACAGTAAAATAGGCAAGCCACAGACAACACCCAGAGGAGGGGGAAGATCACACACACACACACACACACACACACACACACAGAATTTCTTCAAAGGACACACAGACACACAGGATAACCTACCGCCAACTCACCCAGACCGCGTGAGCTGTGAAGGAGGAAGCGAGTCTGAATCCTGAACTGAGAGCAATCACGTGACTCACGGAGGGTCACAGCTGAAAACTTTCAGCGGCATCTCAACAAATCACTTTTGGGGGCATCTTTTCCTTTGAAGGTCACGCAGAAAAGAAAGTAAGTTTACATAAGATGTCACAAAAAGTGACAAAATATGGCCTGGGCCCTTGCAGTTGGTTGGGCGTCATCCTGTGCACTGAAAGGTTGCTGGTTTGATTCCCGATCAAGGTGCACGCCCGGGATACGGGTTTGCTCCCCGGTTGGGGCACATACAGAGGCAGCCGATCGGTGTTTCTCTCTCTCCCTTTCAAGGAAAACACAACAACACAGAATATGGCTGTGAACTTTTGCACCTTTTCATGTTCTGAAGCCCTAAGGTTTACATTTGGCGGGGTGGGGGGACGGAGGGAAAGTCCACATAAGGAAACAGAAGCCAGTGGCCTGAAGCAGCCTCTGCTCTAGCACACGCCCTTCTCCCTGGCCCTGCGGCAAAGTGAGATTGTTCAACCCGTGGTGCGGGAAGCCACTGGACACGGGAGGGGCGGGTGCGAGTGCACACACGAGAGCACACACAAAACCACAGAGAACATGAAGCTTCCTCAGCAAAAAAAAAAAGAAGAAGAAGAAGAAGAACGAGCAAGGACTTTTATTTTTACTGAGATGCCCCATCGAGAGAAGTTGTTTGGCAACAGAATCCCCGATCGGCAGAGCGTTCTCCGACAGGAACCTCAGCTCTCGGGAGAGCATTGCCCACTGTGTCTGCCTTACATGTCCCCGGGGCTGCCTCACTGAACTGGGTGTCTTCCGGCCAGGTATCCCGGGGCTACCCTCCCGCCTACGGAAACCTCTCTACCCAGGAGACGCTTCTCCTTCCATCCCACCACACAGGCTCAAGGGGAGGCCTGAGGCTGGTTTCCCAAGTTCTTCTTGAAGCCAGAGCCATGGAGACGGGTCTGGAGCACGTGACCAAGATGAATCCCCTCAAGGCTTCTGGGGTCTGAGGAGGGCAGACAAGACCCCCACGTGGACCCCACCTCACCGTCTGACCCCCCAGAGGCAGGGCCGGCTTTCTGGGGCACAGCGCCATGCACTCCAAGGGCCTCGCGCTTGGTGTAACTCTGGTAGCCGCCATTCGAAATTCGTAATATTCCGGAACAAGGGCATAAGGCATGCCCATTTGCATGGGGCCCTGTACGAAGCTGGCCTTGCCTGGACCACAGGAGACTGCTTGTCTCGGCCACAGGAAATGAGCCAGCCCTCCGGGCAGGGCTTGCTTGGGAAACGGGATGGAGATGGACCCAGGCTGCTGGGGTGGGCCTGCGGGCTGGGGGAGAGCGATGGGAGGGGTGCTCTCACGTTTGGGGAGAGAAAGGGGAACTGCAAGTTCAGATTCAGCCCTGAGTTTCTCCATGTGATGCCCCGCTTCCTCCGCTGCTGCATTGTCTGATCTGCTCTGAGAACAGAAACAAGCAGAGACGGGCGGAGAGGAGCAGAGGAGAGGACGGGGGAGCAGACCCTGGGTGAGGTGCCTTCAGCCCCCCTGCCAGGGGGAGCCAGAGAGGCCAGCCCGAGGGACGGGGCCATGCGGCTGCCATGGGCTCTGCTGCTTCTCTGTGTCCCAGGTGAGCAGGGCTGGGCCAGACTCGGGAAACCTGCTCTGGCAGGTCAGGGTGAGCCGAGGGTGGTGACGCGAAGGGAATGCAACAAAAACACCAGCCAAAAGGGACGGGCTATGATTATAAAGACCCCAGTGCACCTACTTCCTCCCTGGGACAGGAAGAGGATTAGGTGGGAAATGTTCTCCGCGCTGTGAGCACAGTCGGAGCCCCAAGGAAGTCTAGCCATCTTAATCATTAGAACTATCAATCATTGCTGCCGAAACCGGTTTGGCTCAGTGGATAGAGCGTCAGCCTGCGTGCGGACTGAAAGATCCCAGGTTCGATTCCGGTCAGGGGCATGTACCTTGGTAGTGGGCACATCCCCAGTAGGGGGTATGCAGGAGGCAGCTGGTCGATGATTCTCTCTCATCGATGTTTCTAACTATCTATCCCTCTCCCTTCCTCTCTGTAAAAAATCAATAAAATATATTTAAAAAAAAAAAAAAGAAAAAAAGAACTATCATTGCTAAGGTCAGGAAGTTGCCAGAGAGGAGAGGGAGGAGGGCGGAGAGCTGGGACTATTGGGCTGAGTGTGAGTTACCTGTCATGGGCAGAGCGGACAGCAGCGGTTCCTTGTGGTGAGCGGACCCCTCAGGTGTGTCCAGAGCTCGTGTGACTCTCCAGGCAGGAAGCAGGGATTGCAGGGACCTGGGGCCTCCTCACTGGGAACTGGAGCTTTCAGAGAGTCTGGAGAAGAAGGGGCAATGCCAAAGTCAGAGGTGGCCAAGGACCTGAAGCTAAGGCCCAGGGCATGGCAAGTCTGGCAGGGGCTGCTGAGGAGGAAGGTGGGGAAGGAACCACTGGTGGATCATCGATGTGGGAGCAAGGAGTCCCTAAAGACATTCGGTGATGGCAAGTGTGGCTGCAGGCGTCTGTCCCAGGAGGGAAATCCAAGTCTTAATGGCCTTGAATCGTGGCCAAGAAGAGCCTCTTCTTACATGGCCTCCCTATACCCTGGCCAGCGCTCAGCTCCTGTGCGACTCAGACCTCTGAGCAGGAGTTTTCTAGTTCATCCATCCATCTGTCCGTCCGTCCGTCCATCCATCCATCCATCCATCCCTTTACTCAGATCACACTTAGTAGCTTTATTCAATTCTAAGTATTGCATGGGACCCAGAACCTGTCTAGGACAACCAAAGTCTTCCTCTCCCCGCCCCCCCCCCCCCCCCCCATGTTGTGAGTTGGTTGAACTCACAGGCTGGTCATGGCCTCTCGGGTCTCAGAATTCCACAGCAGGAGTCTCCTTTGATGTCCGCCTGTGTCTGCCTATGCCTTGCTGGTGCCTGCCCCCGCCTTCAGGCCTCCGGGTGACTTCCAAAGGACCCGACACCCAGGGCCCCTCTGGCCCAGGCTCTTCCAGGGGGAGACAGATGGATTGTGTTTTCCAGGCTCTTGGTCTCTGAGCGGCCCCCGTAATGTGACTGGCACCGTGGGCGGATCGCTGAGCGTGCAGTGTCGGTACAAGAAGGAGTATGAGGCCTTCGACAAATACTGGTGCCGACAGCCATGCTTGCCTCTGTTCTCCGAGACCATAACAACCAATGCTTCCGGGAGAGAGGTGAGGAGTGGCCGTGTGTCCATCCTGGACCATCCTGGCAACCTCACCTTCACCGTGACCTTGAAGAACCTCACTGCAGACGATGCAGGAAAATACAGGTGTGGGATTTCCACGTTCCTGATGGAAGAGGGGCTTCCCGGCTTCTTGCCTGAACCCTTTTTCCAGGTTCAAGTGTTTGTTTCCTCAGGTAAGGCCCTCCTTCCTCTGGGACCAGCGGTGAGAGGGTATGAGGGAATCTCTGCAGAGCATCCCAGGAAATTCCGACTCAGGAGAGGGAATGGGGCCAGGCGTTTGTGCACCAGAGTTTCAGGACCAAGTGCGTTGCGTGCATGGACTGCGTGTGAGTGTGTGAGTGTGTGAAAGCGTGAGGGTGTGTGTGAGGAAAATGTGTGAAAAGTGGGTCAGTCGGAGTGCCAGTGTGTGTGTCGGGCGTGTGAGAGGGTGAGTGTGGGTGTGTTATATGCAAGTTTCCTGCCCCCACCCCAGGTCCTGTCAATGTCTGTGGGTTGAGGTGGGAGAGATCCATCAGGACTGAGGGCCTCATGCTGCCTTCCTGACTTCCCAGGGTGGAGTGTGTGTGTATAGGGTGGAGGTCATTCCCAAGGGACCCCCTTCACACTGTCTGTTGGCTTGAGCTCTCAGGAATAAGAGCTCCCTATAACCCCAGGGCCCACGGTCTCACCCAGGGTGAGGGCCAGCCCCAACTCTCGCCCTGGCCTCTCTAGCTGGGTGGGCTGAGGGGGTTGTGGGACCCAACTTTCCAGAGTACAGATTCCATGTCTTTGGTGCTGGTAGCATTTTCCATCAGCTGTGTGAGGCATCCCCACTTTCAAACTTCCCTGAATCAACCTCTATAGTCTTCTGCCAGGGGGTGAGGGGGTTGATAAGTGGGTGCACTGGCTGGGGGTGAGTAGAACCTGAGGTCTAACTCTTGACCTGCCCTTCAAGCACTCCTGTTTTCAGGAAGATGTGGAACGCCTCACTGCTTAATGGCAGAAGGCAACGCATCCCTCGTCCTGATTATGGTGTTCACCTGGCTAAGAGCACACTGGGATGGGCTTGGAGAGGGACACTCCTCTGCTGCTCAGGCCTGGGGCTGACCATGGTGAGAGGATGGTCTGAGATCATCTGTTCAGCCCCTTCCCTGAGTTCCCTCTGCTTTGTGAAGTTAGGATCGTGCAGGTGAGAGGTACCTACGTGGGGAGAGTCCTGGGCAGGGCCCTTGGCCTCGTCCCTCACCATCCCTCTCCCCCACAGCCTCCAGCAGCAAAAGCTCTGCAAGGACGCCTGGACCTCCCAGCCGAGACCCAGGGTAAGGCGCCTGTGTCCCCGTGCCTGCTACCATCTTCCCGAGGGTAGGGCTTCCCAGACACAGGTCTCCTCAATAGGCCACTCACTCAGCAAATATTTCATTTACGTCTTATGTGCCGGGAACTGATGCAAATGCTGGGGGTATGACAGTGAACAAACAGGCAAGGCTGTCTCTCAGGGAAGTTTCTTTCGAATGGGCAGATTTAAACAATGACCAAATGGATGAGATAGGTAGGCAGGCAGGAAGATATAGATAGATAGATAGATAGATAGATAGATAGATAGATAGATAGATAGATAGATAAGTGTATGATAGATGCACACACATGGAGTAAATGTCATTGATGATCGTTGCTCTGGAGAAAAATTAAGCAGGTAGGTATTAAAGGACAGGTTATGTGATGTCTGCGGGGAGGTTGATCAGGCATGATGAGATCTCAATGGAAACAAGTAACAAAGAGACTTAGATTGGGTTTCCTCATAATCCGAGACAAGAATTTAGTAAGTACAGTGAGGTGATCCCAGGAGGTCTAGTGAGGGAGCGGGAAGGAGGGAAAGACAGATGAGGTGCCCATTGCTGAGAGAGCTCCCGTTGGAGCAACCAGGCTCCCTCCCCTGGGCCCCTCAGAGAGGCTGAGCAGGGCATTCCTCAGAGCCGGCCCACGGAGCAGTGGGGAAGTCGGAGTGGGAATCCACATACATCTGTCCCTCCTGGCAGGGGCAGATGGTTGGTTTGCTAGCTTTATACAGAGTGATGAGCGAAGGCCTCTCAACTAGTGACATCTGAGCAGAGACCTGAAGGAAGTGGGAGAGTCAACCAAGAAAGCATCTGGAGTAGGACTGGTCCAGGCAGGTCACTCCTGGGGCCTGAATCCTGGGGGCATTTCTGGCCCACTCTGCCCAGCAAGCCATGCCCACTCCTACGGTGAGAGAGAATCCTCAGGCAAGAAGGGGCAGGGGCTTGAGGTGAGAAGACATTGGCGGGCCCAAAACTGTCTACAGGTACCAGAAGCTCAAGTGGGTGAACAGAGGGTACCAATAGGGGCTGCTACATTTGTGAGGAGCAGGAACGGGCAGTGGACTGGGACCCAGGAGGTGAGGGGATGGGCAAAGTCACTCCTTGGGGGAGAGTCATTAGTGATTTAAGCAGACTATCTGCTCCCATGATTGGATTCAAGGGTGAGCCAGGAGTTGCACTTGCGTATAGGGTGGTTATAAGGGGACATTCATCCTTAAAGTTGGTCCCAGTAAGAGCTGGGGCCCTATGGGTGTTGATGGCCGAGGGCTTTCTGGGCACCAGGGCCTGCCCAGGATCCAGCCTCTCTCTTCCCTCCGCTTCTCATACGACGTTCTCAGGCACCTGCTGTGTCCTGACCTCCAAGTTCCTCACTTCATTCTTGAACTAAACGAGGGACAGGTGTCTGTGGTCTTTAGAATGAGCTGTCTGACCCTGGCACCACTCAGGTGTGACACTGATACTGAGTTTTGAGGCCACAGGACTTGAGCACAAAGGAAGGTGGGGGAGAGGCGGAGCCTGGCCCTCCATTTGACTGCTGTCCACTGTCCCTCCCACAGGTCCCTGTTCAGCAGTGTCCACTTCCTGCTCCTCATATTCCTGAAAATACCTCTGTTTCTGAGCATGCTCAGTGCTGTCCTCTGGGTGAACAGGCCTCAGCGAGCAACTTCTGAGGAAACACAGTTTGGCTAAGACAACCTGCCTCTGCCCCGCCCGGCGATGTCCTGTCCAGAGTCACAGCCACTCCGACTAGAGAAGACAGAACCTCATCCCTGAACCTTACATCCCTTTCCTGCTTATCGCCAGAGACTTAAAAAAAAAAACATTTCAATGAATATATCACCTACACAAACGTGTGTATAGGAACAGTTGAAGGATTAAAATAAACAACTGTGTGCCCACCATCCAGCCTAAGAAACCAAACATCACTGAAACATTTAAAGCCCCCACCCTCTTCTCCCCGCCCTCAAGCCCCTCCTTCTCCTGCTGCCAGAGTCAACCACTCTCTGGATTAGCTTGTGCCAATCATTTCTATTACCCAACCTCATGGGTAAGAAGGAAGAGCAAGCTTTGACAGTTCTTAAAGCCACCAGGAGATGGCGCCAGAGGCAATTTGCAAAGCTTCATGATGGACCTCTCCATGGACTTGGAAATAATTCTCCTCCACCAAATCCAGACCATTGTATCCTGCTGGCCTGTCCCCCAGGCTGGTCCACTCCTGCCCCATCCTGCTCAGCAGCCTGAGCTATCATAGCAGGGACCACTTGTCTCCATTGGGGCCAACCAGAGGTGGACGCAGGCATTCAAGGGGTCACTGCCAGGGCTCAAGGTTCCGCCAGGAGTCTGGTGCCCAGTGGGCAGCTCAGACTGGAGTAGACTGGACCTAGGGGAGGGGATGGAGCCAGGCGCCAGAGGCGAAGACACACCCGATTCCAGTCCAAGGCTTCAGATTTCTTGAGAAGCAGCACCACTTGGCTCTTCTGATTTCTGACTCCCTGGGAGAGGCAGAGAGACCCAGGCCCTCAGGAAACACGTTCGCTAGCTTGGAACTTCAGGTGGAGACAGTGTCAGCACTTCCTATTTCCCAGGAACAAGGGAACTGTGTCTAAAGGACTAACCATGACCAGCGCCAGGAAGCGTCTAAGGAAGGGCAGCAGTGGGAGGAGAAACAGGGAGACAGGTGCAGGGCGAAGAGAGGTGGGTGGGAAGTGGGGAGCGGTGGCTGGGTCCATTTTCCAAAGTTCAGGGAGAATCTACAGTTGGGCCCTGGCCTGGTATCCCATGAGCAGCCTCAAAGTTAGTCTGTAACATGATCTCTACATTGAATGATCTGTACAATCACATGCTGTGTTGGTAGATGTGTTTATGCTATGTATTTATACATGTGTCACCAGAAAAGTAACATTTTAATGCAATCATCATCTTCCCCTTGTCTGATGGATTATTCTTTGTGGCCATTGGTGTATCAAAAGTTGATTTGTGAATGTGACACATTTAAAATATGCCACCATGTTGGGAACCCTATTTTGATATCTTTTTTCCCTCCCCAAGATGCCAGGAGCTTCAAAAATAAAAGTGAACAATGTGTAAGGGGTCAGGTGGGAATAGACTTATCAGGGTATGTAAGTGTATGGGCACTATGTTGGACACCTGAAACTAAGGCCTGGAGAGGGATGAACACTGTGACTAAAACATAAGGTGACCATGGGGCAGGAGGACTGAGACCCTTGTCATGTCCACTCAGGTCACGTTGGCCAAGCAAGGAGGGTGTGTCTTTATTGGAGGAGTGTGTGGCGAGGAGTGACACCGACTGCTATGGATTTCTGTGACTCTTGCTGATGAGTAGAGAAGAGAGAGAAAGGGCAACTGAGGAATGTCACTGTAGTGAAGAGAGGACAGAGGACACATAATGTCAGCGAAAAAGGGAGGGGAAGGGACAGATTGGAGAGCTTGGAGTGAGCACGTCTGGGGAGTGAGGGGAGAAGAAGCCCGTGTTACAGGAGTTGGGCTGCAGCCACTCTGGGGTTCTTATTGCCTTTGGTCATGGTAAGCTGGTGTGGAAGAGGAACAGACCTGGGAAGAGAGAGTTTGGGGGAAACAGATAGACCTGGACTGTGCATGACAAGGTTGAGAAACCAGGGTAGCCCAGGAGACACCTTAAAAACAGGCCCCACCTCTTGACCTGCCCCTCTACCCTTTCCAGGGCAAATTGGCCCTGGAGCCATCATGTCCTCAGACCACCAAGCCTGTCTGAGGTAGGACAGACTTGCCTCCCCACCTCCTGGGAAGGCCCACCACCATCTCTGCCCCTTGAAGAGGCCCCTGGCCATCCCTGTGCACCCCAAAGGGACCCCAGCGGCCATGCCATTGGGAAGACCGCCCTCTCTGTGCCATTGGGAGGAGAGGAAAGGCTCCATCCCAGCTGGAGGGCCCCCCACTTTCCATCCTCTGAGCTCTGAGCTCCCCTTGTCCGCTGTCAGACCTCTGTGCGGAGCCTCACCGAGGAGGTGACTTTCAGAAGAAGAAAGCATCAAAAGGAAAGTCCTTAGAGGGTTGGTGAACAGGGAAACCCACAGGAGAGAGGACTCAGCCTTGCATGGGACCCCACAACCAAGATGGGACCTTCGAAGGCGTCTGACGTAGTTGCATCAGAGCTCCCCGTGGGGCCTGCGGCGACATTGTTGGGGGCCATCACACCTCTGTGGTCCCCACCGAAGCCCAAGCAGATGAAAAGATCTGAACTCTCCTTCTTGACTACAAGGAAGTGACATAGGGCAGAGGGTGGGGATACCCATCCAGGAGGAAATGACCCAGCGTGGCTGTGCTGTGCGGAGTCATGTGTGGCCGTCGCAGGAGCAGCCGTGTGCTCTGAGAAGGGGCATCCTCCTCACTGAGGCCACGGGCCTGTCCTGACCTTGGGGTTGAGAGCAGAAGCCCAGGAGCCGAGAGCCAGGTCTGCAGCAGCCTGTGTGGCTCCTGACCCTAAGCTTCCTGCATCCTGACTGACCATCCAGCATCGCACTAAAAACTGGGCTGGACACGGAAGCAGAGGCCCAGAAAAGCGGAAGTGGTCACAGGCCAATCGCACCCTCAGCCAGGAGGCTTGACTGTGTTCCCACACAGGGCCTGGCGCTGCTACAGGCCGGGTCCGTGCGGAGAAATGACCCCGAGGAGGGGGCCCACATGGCTGCTTCCAGCTCTGTTCCTCCTCCAGGTCCCAGGTGAGCAGGCTGGGCTGTGTGGGGAGCTGGGCCCCAAGTGGGAATGAGAAGGACTGGGAGGGGGAGTGGAGGGTGAGGAGCAGCCCAGCAGGAGGGAGGGAGGACATGGGGGAGGGGAAGGAGAGGCAGAGAAGCTTCCTGGAGCTGCCAGCACCTGCCTTGGCAGCAACCACAAGGATTCAGTGCACAAAGCAGGCGAGTCTCAACCACTGCGCTGACAGAGCTGTGCTGGGAGGCAGGGCCTGTGCTCACTGCCTTATTGTCATAACCAGAATGTGAGCCCTGGCTGGGGGCTCAGTAGTTAGAGCGTTGGCCTGTGTATGTTAGATTCTGGGTTAAAGGCATGTACCTGGGCTCATTCAGGAGGCAACCAAACAATGTTTCTCTCTCACATCAATGTTTCTCTCTCTTCCTCTTCCTCCCTACCTCCCTTTCTCTCTCTCTAAAAAGCAATGTTAAAATATCCTTAAGTGATTAAGAAAATTAGAGATGTGGTCTTGGTGCACCACACACACTTATACACACACACATATGCACGTGCGCCTACACACACACATACTTATGTTCAAATACACACATACATTCACATGCACACACACATGCACACACCCAGTTCAAACACATGCACACACTCCGTTTTTCCCATGTGGCCCTTCTTGTCTCCATGGACACCCTCTTCCTGTGTCACCACTGGGAGGAGGGAGCTATGGCCCCTGGTCCCCTCTCCTGGTCTGAGGGAAGGCATGGCCTCCCAACCCTGAGGGCTCTTGAGGGACCTGCACCCCATTTAGCCCTGCCCTGGCCCATCTGGTAAGAAGCGGGACTGGGCTGTGTCTTCCAGGCTGTTTGTCTCTGAACTGCACCAGGCATGTGACGGGCACCGTAGGGGGATCGCTGAGCGTGCAGTGCCGGTATGAGAAGGAGTTCACAGACCATAACAAATTCTGGTGCGAAGAGCCATGTTCCATATTCAAAGGGACGAAGATTGTGGAGACCACGGAGTCAGAGAGAGAAGTGAGGCGTGGCCGCATGTCCATCAGGGACCATCCAGCTAACCTCACCTTCACAGTGACCTTGGAGAGCCTCACCGAGGGCGATGGAGGCAGATATAGATGTGGGATCGAGAAACCATCGACTTTAGACCTCATCTTCCCAGTTGAGGTGTCTGTGTCCCCAGGTGAGCCGCACACGCCCTCCCCTTGCCCCAGCTCCAGGCTGCCTCATCTGTACCTGGTCACCAGCTGGTCAGGGCAGGCATGGAATTGAAGAGCTGGGTGAAGTGGGGGGTCAGTGATCACAGCATGTGTGGGTGTTGTGTTATCTGGGCACACATGCCCTGTGCATGCGCACATGCCCATGGACACACATAGTCTGTTCCAGACCCCTCAGGGGGTCAGTCTCTGACCCAGTCTCAGGCCTGGATGGCTCCTCAGTCACCGGCCTCACAGCCAAGATCCTGGGGGCCTGCAGCAGCCATGAGACAGGCCCAGAGGAGCCCCAGGTCCCTGTGGGGACCCCTGTGATATTTTGGGGGACCACTCTTCCCTTCAGGTTGACCCTGTCCTCCCCGTTTTTCTCTGATGCCCTGTGGCCACAGGAGGGAACCCAGAGACACCCCTGAAAATACCTCCCTCAGGAAAGAACAGGAAGGGTGGTCACGTGGCTCTCAGGTGCTATGGCCCCCTCCTTGTCTGCTCTCAGAATGATTCTCCCTCACAGGTCGCTGTGCTTGTCTCCTAAGCGCTGAGTGAAGGTCACCCACCTCAGCGCACAGCTCTGCCTGCTGCTCCTGCCGGCCTTGGCTCTGGCTCCTTACTTCCTCCTTGTAGGTCTGGGTTTCTCACTCTCACAGGAGGTTCCCTCACTGGCCTTGGTGTCTTCCCATTGGAGAGTGAGAAATTGGAACTCCATGGAACCTCTGGCTGGGGGGAGAGGGAGGGGTTTGTCCCCGGCCTTCAGGACAGGCCACGTTCTATGGGGTCCTCCTGGTGTGAGTCTCTCTAGATCAGGGGTGAGGAACACCCAGCCCAAGGGCCATATAAGGCCCAGGAAATCATTGGGTCTGGGCCTGCCAAGGCATTAGGGGTCAGAGATAAAATGCTTGGCCAATCACAGCAGGCTAATGTTTAAGTGGATGATTTTGCATGGCCCGGGAATGATGTAAATATCCAAATGGCACTTGGCAGGAAAGAGGTCCCCCACTCCTGCTCTCGGTCTTTCTTTCTGCCATTTCTTCCCCCAGAGAGGACTGCCCAGTGGGCCCAGGCTGGCTGACAGTGTGGGGGACTGGTAGCTTAGAAACAGCTGGAAGCCCGGGCTAGGAGGCCGGCATGTGGGCGAGGCCCTCCTCCAGGTGCAGACTTCTGTTGTATCCTCTGGGGCAGTGTTTCCCAAACTTCTCTCATGGTGAGAATCACCTGGCGGAGTTGTTAAAATACAGATTCCTGAATCCCAACTAAGAAGTGCTAAGCTAGAATTTTGGGGAACATATAGATAAAATTGTATACTTACAAAAAAAAAAAAATACTAAGCTTAGAGCACTAGTTAAGTATACAATTTTACCTATATGTTCCCAAAAATTCTAGTTTAGCACTTCTTTGTTGGGATTCAGGAATTGTATTTAACATCTCCACCAGATGATTCTCATCACGAGAGAAGTTTGGGAAACACTGCTCTAGGGTGGAGGGGCCTCCCTCACCAGGGCACTAATCCCAAAAATGAGGGCTCCACCCTCAACCCAATCACCTCCAAATGCCTGACCGCCTAACACCACCCTCACTGGACACGGGGCTTTCAACAAAGGAATTTCAGAGACAGGAGCGTTCAGACCACGGCGTGTCTAAGGGACTGTGGGGTCTCGCCATCCAGGTCAGACTCTAAGGCATATCTGTTTCCTGGTGCTCACTTGAGCCATCAGCCTGCCTGAGGGCCCTGGCCACCCATCACTCTAGTCAAGGCTCCAGAATAAGTGTCACCCACCCCTGCTGGCGGGATGAGGGGGAGAAGGGTGCAGCTGTGGAGGGGGTGAGGCCGGAGCCAGGTGCTCTTCCCAAACACTCTCAGATCCACTGCTGAGCAGGACTACTCTGCATCCCTACGTGCCCACTGGCCACGGAGTTCCTGGAGAGGGGACCGGGGAGGGGGCCCAGGTCTGGCCTGCCTGTGGCCATGGATGGGAAGGCCTGAGTGACCTTGACCTTGTGTCAGAGCCACACAGCTGGCAGACTGAGACACCCAGGGCCTGACATGTGTTTCTCCCTCAGCCCCCATCCTCGTCACAAGCACCCTCGGCACTCCAAGCATTTTCAGACTTACAAGCACCCTGGGCACTCCAAGCACCCTGGGCCCTCCCTCCTCCCTGCCAACGACCACCAGGCCCCGTGTGACCAGCCAGGAGACGCCTGATGTCAGCCAGCACCCTCGGTAAGGGGCTGGAATCCCAGGACTTGGACACCTGGTGGATTCTCCTCTAGATGGGGGGGATGTGAGAGGGTCAGGGTGATGAAGATGTGGCTCACTGTGCACCACCGTCACCGTGTCCCCCACAGGTCCCTGCTCAGCAGTGTCCACTTCCTGCTCCTGGTCTTCCTGAAGGTGCCCCTGCTCCTGAGCATGCTCAGTGCTGTCCTGTGGGTGAACAGGCCTCAGTGGAGCTCTGGGGGGAGGCGGAGTCAGCCCCGCTCTGAGCACCAGTGACACTTTCCCCATTGATGCCCGCCCAAGAGCCCCGCCCCGCTGCGGAAGGGAAGGACCTTCTGACCAATCAATCCAGTGTCATGGTCCATGATTCTGTCGGAATAGTCTGTCAACTCATTAGAGAGTTTTTCTTGCAATGTATCGGATATACACACAAGATTCCTAATAAATGCATACTCACTAAGCCATTTGTGTGCCCACCTTGTAACTCAAGTAACAAACACCATGAACACTTCTGTAGCCCAAGCATGTCGTCAAGGGAACTAATTCTGAGTTCACATTCATCATCTCCTTGTTTTCTTCATGGTTTTGCCATGTATATAATAGAGGCCTGGTGCACAAAATTCGTGCACTCGGGGGAGGGGGACCCTCAGCCCAGCCTGAGCCCTCTTGCAGTCTGAGAGCCTTCAGGGGATGTTTGACTGATGGCTTAAGCCCGTGGGGAGTGGGCCTAAGCCATCATCAGTTGGACATCCCGCCACCTCCGCTGTGCTCACCAGCCATGAGCCGGCTTCTGGCTGAGCAGCGCTCCCCCTGTAGGAGCACGCTGATCACCAGGGGCAACTCCTGCATTGAGCATCTTCCCCTGGTGGTCAGTGTGTGTCATAGCAATTGGTCATTATGCTGTTCAGTTGATTTGCATATTAGTCTTTTAATATACAGGAGGATATTTAAATATATTTTTGTTGATTTTAGAGAGGAATAGAGAGGGAGAGAGAGAGAAACATCAATGATGAGAGAGAATCACTGATTGGCTGTCTCCTGCACACCCCCTTCTTGGGGATGGAGCCTGAAACCTGGGCATATGCCCTTGACTGGAATTGAACCCGGAACCCTTCAGTCGGCAGGCTGACACTCTATCCACTGAGCCAACCCAGCTAGGGCTATAGATTTATTTTTTAACACTCCCCTAGGTTACTTTATTTTTTTCCCCAGCTTTACTTTCCTATAACTGACCCACAGCACTGTGTAATTTTAAGTTTACAGTATTTTTATTTAGAACACTTACTGATTATAAGTGCAAAATGGTGAGCACTATAGGGTGAGCTCACATCTCCATCATATCACAGATTTGCCATTTTTCTCTTTTTTAATTTTTTTTCTTTTTTTTTTTTTTGTGGTGAAAACATTGAAGCTGTGTTCTCTTGGCGACTCCCAGGAGTATAACAGTGTCAACCGCTCCAGTCCCCCGCTGCACATCAGGTCCCCGGAGCTTAGCTTAAAACCGGAAGTCGGTGCTCTTTGACCAGCACCCCCCAATGCTCCTACCCCGCTCTCACTTCTGCACCTGGCTGTATCCCCCGAACAGGTGCCTCTCGGGGATGCCCGCATGCCTACCTCACTCCTGACTTGGTGGTGGTGGTGGTGGGGAGTCCTGCTGCTGGGGTTGGCATGCACCCTGGAACCCAGGGCAGATGCCCCCTCCTTAACCCTCCTGCAGACAAGCCTCCCCGGCCCTCCTCACCCTGCACAGCGCCTGGCTTCCTCTTTCCTCCGAGAGGGGACTCTGGTGTCCTCTGAGCCAGACTTACAAAGAAGCGACACTCCTCTTGCTGAATAATGAAAAGCAGGAAATGCTCTACAAAAGGAAGTGGACACATCAGAGAAACGCAAAGGCGGTCTGGACAGGCAGAGGGTGCCAACGGGGCCAGGCGGAGCTCTGGGTCCAGCCGGCATCGCTGCTCGCCGGTGCCGAGCGGCCGGGGAGCAGGACCATGTGGCTGCCCGCAGCTCTGCTCCTGCTCAGCCTCCCAGGTGAGTGCCGCGGGCCTCGGGGACTGAGAGCTGCAGGGGCAGGAGGGCACCAAGGGCAGCTGTCCCGGGACAACGGGAGGGGAGGGGGACGTCCCGTCTGGGAAAACGAGAGGTGGCTTTGTTAGTTTATTGAGCAAAAGCTCAAGGGGTCCTGCTCCGGGCCAGGCGTGCCAGGCGAAGGGAAAAGAGACACAGGACTGGTTGTTAAAGAGGGGACCCCAAGGGCTCTGTGGGGGAGGCTTACAGACGGACAACAACCCCATGGCAGGACAGAGTCAGGCGTGGTGGACTGTGCTCAGGGGACACCGAGGGACACGTGTGCTCCCTCGGTGTCCCCTGAGCACACGCCTGCATGGTCACACCCTCCGCCCCCCCCCTGCATCTCCCGCATACGCATACACATCCTCCCTCACCAACCTTCCTCCCCCAGACCAGGGCCAAGGCCCGCCACGGCTGATCTGTGGTTTGGGGACAGGACTGCGAGTGACCTCGGAAAGGGGGGTGCCGTTAGGCAAGGATGAAAGAAAAGCCGCCCCCCGAGTTCTCACCTACAGACTGCCACTGGCCACCGTGGGGCCACGTCTGTGAAACACGGGAGGGAAACGTGGGTGAGGTCAGAACAGCCCAACTTCTGTTAAAACACGGTTTATCTGCTCGGTTGCATAAGCGCCCCCCCCCCCTCATGCCTCCTTCCACGCCCTCACCCCTCAAGGGGAAGGCAGGGCGCTGGGTAGAGCGGTGCTAAGTGTCTGCAGGTGGAAACCAAGCCCCCCTTCTCCCGGTGACGGAAGTGGGGCCTGTGCCCCAGAAGTGACTTCAGCGCGTGGGCTGCAGGACCGCTCAGGGTGTCAGCTGAGACGCCTTGCCCAAGAGTGGCCTTGGGACCAGCGGCCACGCCCGTCATGCACCCCATGCTCTGTGGGCATCTCTGCGCTGAGCTTCCAGTAGCGGCCTTGGCCTTGGTTTGGGTGTCGTTAGTCACCTGCCTCCAGCCCAGCCACCGCTCAGCCGTCTCTCAATGTCGGGACAAGACTGTTCCCAAGAGGATTTCGCACGTGGAGCCAGTTTTCCCGAACGATGGACACAGGAGGGAGTTTCCATCTCAGATTCACGAAAATGAACAACTGAAATGCGCACGGCCGATGCCTTGAAACCCGCCGGCCCTGCTCCCCAGCGCCCTGCTCCTGGCCGGCGGCTGTCCTGTCCTCTCCCCGCTCTCTCTCCGGACACATGCGGGAGTTCACGCACAGCTCACGGACCCTCCCGCCCATCGGAAGCTGCGTTTATGAGAACTTCCCACGTGTCTTTACAAACATGAGCCCAATCCCGCTGGGAGTGACTTCCAGGTGCCCCACCTCCAGTCCGCGTCTGGTTCCCGCATTTACTATCACAGTGACCCTGCAATCCGCCTCCTTAGACTGGCTGCCCGGTGAGGTGGAAATTATAGTTAATCTTAGAATCAAAGCGATTCTGTCCAAGCTCTTTGCCAGAACAACCATAAACTGGATTGGTACCTATGAGGATCCCGACCCAGTGCAAGCCACAGGGGAAGGACTGGGGGTGGGGAGAGAGAGATCCGGGGAGACACACAGAGAAGATCAAATCCCACCAGCTGGCGCTCAGCTTCCTGTGAAGGCCGCGGGAGCATCGGGTTGAGAAGGGAAATGAGACTTTGCAAAGAGGGCGTCGCCAGGGATGGTGGACAGGGGTTAGTCAAAGTTTCCAGGAGGAAGAAGGACCGGAGCCATGACCCAGCTGCCTGGGAGGACTCGGCAGACTCCAGGGAAAGCGGGGTGGGTCATGGGGAGAGCGGGAGGCAGGACGGCGCAGGGAGTGGCGCTGGGCAGAGACCTGGGCCCCAGGCTGCAGGAGGACGCAGGCCGAGCTCCTGCGTTTGAGATGGCTCTGGGTCTGTGGGGAGCGGCTGTGCCTGGGAGCCACATCCTTTCTCCCCGTCTGCCTGGCGCTGGCGCTGAGGCCACTTCCTGAAGGTGTTCACGTGCTGCGGCTGCAGCCGAGGACTGGGGAGGGGCGGTTTCAGGGCATGGCTCCGATGGCCATATTGGGGGGAGGTCGGAGGAGGGGAGCAGCAGGAGGGGAGACCCGCTCCAGGTGCTACCACCACGATCCACGCACCAGAGGAACACCGGGGCCCCCACCAGCACCCCCGGGGGCGGGGGCTGGAGCTGCTCACACGGGCGCACAAGGACCGGCTCCGAACAGCCCTTCCCAACTCTGTGCCCAGGCCCGGCGCTGATCGGCCGCCACAGAAACTGGAAAGATCTACAAACCGGAGATCCTCCCCCACTCAGGGGGTGGGGGGGCTGGCTGGCTGTTCAATATTTACCGGCACCTCCTGGTGGTGCTGATCTATGGTGGGAGGGCGGGGGGGACCAGCGGGGGCCTCTGAGCCAGAGCAGTCAGAGATCAGGCGAGAACAGCATCACAAGGACCGTTAGGGACGGGTCAGAGGTCAGAGTGTGCACCCCTAGGAGATGAGGCCCAAAGAGGCCAAGCACTGTCGCTGGGGGAGCCAGGGGGGAAGCTGGACGGGGGAGAGGGTAGATGCGAGGGGCCGGCTAAGGGGTGGCCGGGAAGGCCGAGGGTGCTGGCCCAGGGCCCGGGCATCAGCCTGGAGCCCCCCTGAGCCCAGGTCAGGCCTGGCTGGGGGTGGGGACGGGGGGGAGAGGGGCAGGATCTACACCCTGGGATTCTGTCTTCCAGGCTGTTTCTCCATCCAAGGCCCCAAGGTGACGAGAGGCCCGGAGGGGGGCTCGCTGACCGTGGAGTGTCGCTATACGCCAGGGTGGGAGACCAACAAGAAGTGGTGGTGCCGGGGAGCGAACTGGCATGATTGCCGGGTCCTCATTCAGACCACGCCAGGGCAGCACACGGTGCAGGGACCCCGGCTGTCCATCAGCGACAACCGGAGGGACCGCGTGATCTCGGTGACCATGTGGGACCTCCGGCCCGACGACCAGGACACCTACTGGTGCGGGATCAAGAGGTTTGGCACGGACCGCGGGGCACCCATTCGAGTGATCGTTGTTGGCTCAGGTGAGAACTCGCTCATCGCTTCTCGGAGGCCCCGGTGCTCGGGCTGCCAGAGCGGGGGCGCCTGCCCCTCCTCCCAGGGCCAGCAGGGAAATGGCTGAGTTCCTGGGAACCGGTGCGTGAGAGTGAGCGAGAGGCAGGCAGACGGACAGACAGACAGACGGGGAGGGAAGCGAGAGGAACTCAGGCCGAGTGGCCCTCGGATTGGGAGGGCCTGAGCCTGGGAAAGGCAGGGTGGAGGGGCCAAGAGAGGATGGACCAAGCCCGAGTGCTCCCCCGGCTGCCAGGAGGGAAGCGAGATCGGAGGGGACACAACGGGATTGACTGACAGGTGAGCGGGGACCGGGCGGGCTGGTATGTGCCCAGGCGGAGCTTCAGGGAGAACGGCGTTGAGGGGGCTCGGGCACCAGCCTGTGGCCTCAGCCAGGAGCACTCGCCGTGGCCGAAGGTGGGGCCTCAGGGAGCAGAGTTTGCCAGGCCCGGGATCAGAGGCAGGCACACCAGGGACGCCGGGCCGGCTGGGCTCGGGAAGCCAGACCACGCTGCTCACCGGCAACGTCTCCCAGGCTCAGAGGTGCCATTCCCATTGGTCGCTGTTCACCACCGAACCGAAATGCACCCTCTTGTTCCTCAGCCTTCGGGGTGCTCCCTGACCTCGTCGCCCCCGGAACCGGGAGTCCCATTTCCAGAACTGTCTGTCCCTGAACCTGCTCGGGCCCTGCTTGAGCAAAAGGCCCAGGGCTTCCCCCCACAACCAGCCGTCCCCCCTAGAGGGGCCGGAAGAGAGGCGCTCTCTGCTCAGAATGAGCCCAGAGCCTGCGCCCACGTAGCTGGGACTGCTGCGTGCCACACCTGGAGGCGACGGAGGGTTGACTGTGTGTTGGGTTCAGCTGGCACAACAGAAGCCCCTCCTCCAGAAGACTGAGGCTTCCTGATTGGGGGGGGGCAGTAAGGGGGACCCGTGGGGGCTGGCGGGGGGGGGGGGCACTGTGAGCCACACACTAGCCCCGGTCTGTGTCGTCAATAACCTTCGGCTGACTTTGTTGTGTCTAGAAAATCTATCATCCTGGACGACCGCCAACAGCACAGGGGTGTCCTCTGGCTCCCGCATCCGGTGAGTGGCTGGGGCCCCTTCCCCTGTCCCTACCTGGGGCCTCTCCAGTGGGGTGGCCAAGCCTGGAATCCCACTGCCCGGGGGCGGTTGCCCATCGTAACCAGTGTCAGGGCACAGCGCCCCTGCCCATCTCACCCCTCACCCACCATGGCCCCGGCCCAGCCCTCACCCACCATGGCCCAGCCCAGCACTCACCCACCATGGCCCCGGCCCAGCCCTCACCCACCATGGCCCAGCCCTCACCCACCATGGCCCGGCCCAGCCCTCACCCACCATGGCCCAGCCCTCACCCACCATGGCCCGGCCCAGCCCTCACCCACCATGGCCCCGGCCCAGCCCTCACCCACCATGGCCCGGCCCAGCCCTCACCCACCATGGCCCCGGCCCAGCCCTCACCCACCATGGCCCAGCCCTCACCCACCATGGCCCGGCCCAGCCCTCACCCACCATGGCCCAGCCCTCACCCACCATGGCCCAGCCCTCACCCACCATGGCCCGGCCCTCACCCACCATGGCCCAGCCCTCACCCACCATGGCCCGGCCCAGCCCTCACCCACCATGGCCCCGGCCCAGCCCTCACCCACCATGGCCCCGGCCCAGCCCTCACCCACCATGGCCCAGCCCTCATCCACCATGGCCCCGGCCCAGCCCTCACCCACCATGGCCCCGGCCCAGCCCTCACCCACCATGGCCCGGCCCAGCCCTCATCCACCATGGCCCGGCCCAGCCCTCACCCACCATGGCCCCGGCCCAGCCCTCACCCACCATGGCCCAGCCCTCACCCACCATGGCCCGGCCCAGCCCTCACCCACCATGGCCCAGCCCTCACCCACCATGGCCCAGCCCTCACCCACCATGGCCCGGCCCTCACCCACCATGGCCCAGCCCTCACCCACCATGGCCCGGCCCAGCCCTCACCCACCATGGCCCCGGCCCAGCCCTCACCCACCATGGCCCCGGCCCAGCCCTCACCCACCATGGCCCAGCCCTCATCCACCATGGCCCCGGCCCAGCCCTCACCCACCATGGCCCCGGCCCAGCCCTCACCCACCATGGCCCGGCCCAGCCCTCATCCACCATGGCCCCGGCCCAGCACTCACCCACCATGGCCCCGGCCCAGCCCTCACCCACCATGGCCCGGCCCAGCCCTCACCCACCATGGCCCCGGCCCAGCCCTCACCCACCATGGCCCGGCCCAGCCCTCACCCACCATGGCCCAGCCCTCACCCACCATGGCCCAGCCCTCACCCACCATGGCCCCGGCCCAGCCCTCACCCACCATGGCCCGGCCCAGCCCTCACCCACCATGGCCCCGGCCCAGCCCTCACCCACCATGGCCCAGCCCTCACCCACCATGGCCCAGCCCTCACCCACCATGGCCCCGGCCCAGCCCTCACCCACCATGGCCCCGGCCCAGCACTCACCCACCATGGCCCGGCCCAGCCCTCACCCACCATGGCCCCGGCCCAGCCCTCACCCACCATGGCCCAGCCCTCACCCACCATGGCCCAGCCCTCACCCACCATGGCCCCGGCCCAGCACTCACCAGACCCCGCTGTGTGCAATGCTCCTCCGTAAGCATCATCATCCTGGTCGTTTGTCAACAAAAATGCCTCCTGTCCTGGTGGGGCCACGGGGCCATCAGACACGAATCTCCATGACCCAAGGCTCAGGCCGCAGAGCAGGAGAGAGACTCGGGGAAGGACGCTGGGCCTGGTGCAAAGCAGAACCAAGGAGCTGGGTTGCCTCCGGGAGCCCTCCTGGTTGAGCCGCTGCGGAGGTTCAGGGGGCCTTCAGTGGGGGCAGCCGGGCCGGGGTCGCGGGCTGGGCTGGGCGGGCGGATGCCCCGTGTCAGGGCTCTGGTGGGGGGGCGGGGCCTGGAGGCCGGCGCTGACTGCTGTCCTCGCCACAGGAACTACTACCTGCTGCTGGTGTTCGTGAAGGTGCCCCTCTTACTGGGCGTGGTCGGCGCCATCCTCTGGCTGAAGGGGCCCCCGAGGGTCCCCGAGGAGCAACGGGAGCTGCCCGTCCAAACCAACCTGTCCTACGACCTGGCCGGAGACACCGTGCCTTAGATGGATGGACGGACGGAGGAGAGACACTTGGGCACTGGCCCCCGTCGCCAGGGGAGACCTGGGCTGGGAGGCACGCTGCTGCGAGGATCCCAGCCCCTGCTCGGCACAGCCCAGGACACAGGTGGATTCCCTCCTGACTGGTCAGCGCTGCCAGAGGGACACAGCTGCTCCCACTTGTTTGAGTGGAAAACAGCCCAGCCCCGCCCAGCCCAGCCCGGCCCAGCCCGGCCCGGCCCGGCTGGGTCTGACTGAGGGCCAGTGGCTGTGGGATGGAGCCTGCGCTGGGAGAGGATCCTCACTGGAGGACCTCGGCACGGAGCTGGGGAGCGAAGAGCAGAGAGAAGCACCAGGAATGTGCCCGAAGGAGAGACGGGGCCAGTCCCCGGTTCCGGCTGGTCCTGAGGCCAGCTCAGCACCGCTGTGCCTGCGCTTCTGACATAAGTCTAGGGGTTAAACCTTTCCTTTAGCTCAGTGTTTCCCAAAGTGTGGTACGCGTACCCCCAGGGGTACGGGAAGAGTTTGGTGGGGATATGCACTGCACCGTGCTTAGCTGCGCCTAATTCTACGTTCTCATGAGTACGAGGGGTACTCAGTGTTAGGAAAATTATAGAAGGGGTACATATGTCAAAAGTTTAGCTAATCAAGTTGGGTTTGATGGCTCTTTCCATGAGCACACACACACACACAGATGGGGAGTCTGCAGGGCTCCTGGTCTGGGCCTGGAGATGGATGTCCCGGGCCTGGGGAGGACACTGCTCCGAGTTCACGGGGCTGAGGAGGGGCTGAGAGCCCAGGGCTGGCCTTCCGTCTTCCTCCCCACCCTCCCACCCGCAGCCCGGCTCTCAACACAGCTGCCCGGCCTCCCTGGGCTGCAGCCTCGGAAGCTGCCTAAGTCCAGGAGGGCGGCCAGAAAGCCGAGGGGATGGTCTCTGTGGAAAGCTGTGTAATAAGCTCCGTTAAAACCTTCGGAGAGCAGCTCCCTCCCAGAAACCACTGCCTTGGCTGTGCCACGTGGGTCTCGGGTCCTCACACTGAGGGCATCTCTGCACGGGGGTGGGGGGAGGAGGTCCCATGGGGGGTGTCCCCAGGCAAACACGGGGCACCATTTGGAATCTGCCCCGTTGGCTCTTTCTTTGCCCAGCTTATTGAGGTGTGCTTGACATACAAAGTACACGTATGTGAGGCGTAAATGCGATTTTTAGGAAATGCAAAATATGGTGGTGAAGGCAGGGAGTGGGGGCAGGGTGGGCTCGAAGGAGTCAAGGGAGAAAAAAGGGGGACGTAATACTTTCAACAATAAAGATTTTTAAAAAATAAACACAAGTGCAAAGTTTGAAGATTTAATGCGCGTTACGTCGTGAAATAATGCCCACGCTCAGGCCGCCACCCCCGTCAGTTCGCTCAGTTGTCTTCTTGGCTTGTCTCGTGGGTGGGAAGGCTCAGACGGACCCGCCCAGCGCATCTGAAGTGTCCGCCCAGGCTGCTGACCACGCCCCCGCTGGGTATGGGCCCCCGAATGTGTTCCTCACCCACGGGGAGTGTGTGCCCTGACCAGCACGGCCCCGCTTCCCCACGCCCCAGCCGTGGTTCCCTGTGGCGCGTTGCCCTCTGAACTCCCAGGCGGGCGTGACCGCCCTGCCCTTGGCCCTCACAGGTGGCCCTGCTCCTCGGCCTCCCGTCCAGGGCACAGGAAGATGCAGGGGATCTCCTGGTCCCGGCACCATGGCCTGATGGAGCCTTCGTCCCCGCTGGAAGCTGCAGTCCCTTCTCTCCCCACTCCCGCTGCGGACAAACCCTCTCCCACCTCCGCCTGGTTAAGGGACTGAGAACTCCATGGCGCCCAGCCAAAACAGCGGCGGGCATTGCTGGTGCAGGCCTGGGAGCGGGAAGACAGGAATTCTACAAGGCGCTCGCTGAAACTGGTTTGGCTCAGTGTATAGAGTGTCGGCCTGCTGACTGAAGGGGTCCTGGGTTCGATTCCCGTCAAGGGCATGCACCTTGGTTGCAGGCACATCCCCAGTAAGGGGTGTGCAAGAGGCAGCTGATCGATGATTCTTATCGATGTTTCTCTCTATCCCTCTCTCTTCTTCTCTGTTAAAAAAAAAAAAATCAATAAAATATATATTTTTTAAAAATTCTACAAGGTGCAGCTGCAGGCCCCAACCTTTTGTGCTGGTGGGATCCAGCTGACCCTCTGACAGAGATGCCTATGAACCTCAGGGCATCACTGCTCATCCATTAGTGACTGCCCACTTTACAGAGTGGCCAGGATGGCACAGATGCCCTCCGACACCTGACTCTCAAGTTCATGCAGAGATTGGGGGACTTTTGGATGTGACTTCCGGTGTCTCATTTGGTGATGGTGCCCTCTGATCTCCCACCCACGCCACCCAGCACGGGAACCCCTCCCCCCGTAGATGGTATTGCCAGGCTAGTAGAGAACTGAGGGCCGCTCTTCATCTTGGAGCTATGGACTCTTCCCCCAGCACCAGACCTGTCTCCACCACCCAGGGTATGCCATCACTGTCCCAAAGATAACTGATTAAATTGGCCCTGATAGAGCAGAGATGGGGAGGAAGAAATCCCAGGCTAACATCCCCTAATCACCAAACAGGAAAGACAAGCAAAATCTTCACTCTCTCTTTGTGGTCAAGTCTTTGAGATGAAGATTCTGCCCGCCTTTCCTGTTTGATGATTAGGGCATGTTAGCATTGGATTTCTTCCCTCCCCGGCTGTCCCTTTGTGGGGGAGAGAGACATGAGGCCAGAGGACAGGTCTGAGCCTTGGAGAGGAGGGAGCTGGGGCCGGGAGTCGGGAATGGGAGTACGAGGTGAAGAATTGCTACATTCTAAGGTTTTTACACCAGAATCGCTGGAGGAGGTGCAAGAAGGCAGGTGAAAGAGAAACACCAGGAGATCTGGGCTGGAGATGTGGGACCGGGGAACCAGCATCCTGATCACTACGGTAACCACAAGCCACACTGGCGACTGTGCAGCCACACTGAGGCTGGTCTGCAGGGAAGTGTGTGGTAAGGAAGTCTCCCGCCATGCACACAAGGTGTTGAAAAATTTTTATGACAAAAAGAATTTAAAGTATCTCCCATATCATTGAGTTAATATGTTGAGTCTATTGGGTTAAAGCAAATAGATGACTAAAATGAATTTCCCAGAGGCAGGAGCTGGAGAGGGGGCCTTCAGAGGCTGCCCCTCAACCCTGCTCCTTCTCAGCCTCCTGGAGCTGAAGGGTGGGGTGGAAGGGCCTGTCTTGTTCCCAAGTGGAGAGATGTTGAGGGAAATCCAGTAACGCACCCCTAAGCAAACACATGCCAGTGTCACCCGTGTGCCAGGCACCGAGCTGGGTGCTGGGGATGCAAGAATGAACAAGATGTCACTCCTGTACTCAAAGAGCTCCCCCCCACAAACCACCCCCTCCAGAGACCAGGACTGGACAGGGAGGCACCAGATTCCAGCCAAGTCTTCACAGAGGGTGTCACATTCCCCAGGGAAGGACAATAGGGTCTCCCAGGTGGAGAAGGAAGAGCCCTCTCCCACCCTCCCCGACCCCCGGCCCCCGGCAGAGGGAGAGCATAAAGACACATAAAGACACGGAAGAGCTTGGGGGCATGGATGGGAGCATTTCTCAGAATGTCAGGACCGGGAGGGAGTGTGTGTGTGTGTGTGTGTGTGTGTGTGTGTGTGTGTGTGTGTGGAGGGGGGATGAGGCCAGAGGACAGGTTTGAGTCATTAGCTAAGAAGACTGAGAACATCTGTGAATAAAATCAGGATGGCTTTTCTAGTCTTCCCTCCCCCAGGTAACTCTCTTGAGTCCTTTAAACTTAAAAATAAACATTTTCAGACTAAAAATAAAGTTGAAAAAAGAACCACCGTGGACTTGCCCATCATTGGATAAGGCTGGTCCAATCAGCACCGTGAGCAAACCCAGGGTTGACCACATGAGTCAGACCCAATCCTGAAGAATGGGAGCAAAGGGCACCAGAGTGGGATCGGGACTTGTAGATTCGGTCCTTGCATTGCTGTGACCTTCCCAATGGTTTCCCTGCTCCTGTGGTCCACACAGCCTGCGAACAGTGAGACCCTAGGCTTGAGAGACTTCATTTAAAATGCCTAGAGCACTCAAGCCCTCGCTGCACGTTTACAATGGTGGTGATGAGCAGAAGGAGGAAGAGAGAAGCTACAAAGCAGGAACCCTGCTTATCTTGTTGACATCCCCATCCCTTGGAACTTAGTAGACAGTTTCCAAATAGATGCCAAATAAGAGAATGAGGAAATGACAGAAAACGGGGTGGCCATGAGTGAGAGTGGGGGCTACCTCTTCAAGAACGTCATGGCAAGAATGTCAAGCGAATGGAAGTTTAGAAAGACACAGGAAACGGGCCAATGTCATGACTTGGCTTTACCTTAAAGAGCCAAAGACACCCACAGGGACACCTGGCAACAACTGAGACAAGTTTGGTTGTCATCGTTGGTGTTGGTTTGGGGGTGGCATCTGCTAGGTAGAGGTCACGTATTCTGCTAAACCAGTGGTCAGCAAACTCATTAGCCAACAGAGCCAAATACCAACAGGATGACGATTGAAATTTCTTTTGAGAGCCAAATTTTTTAAACTTCTAACGCCACTTCTTCAAAATAGACTTGCCCAGGCCATAGTATATTGTGGAAGAGCCACACTCAAGGGGCCAAAGAGCCGCATGTGGCCAGTTTGCCGACCATGGTGCTAAACCAACTACAATGCACAGGACAGCTCTCCACAACAAAGAATGATCTCAGAATGTCAATTACCCAAGATGTCAATAGCTAAAGAAAATCAAACATGGAGTTACCACATGAGCCTGCACTGATATTCCTAGGGGTATACCCAAGAGAAATAAAAACATATGTCTCGCGTGACTGGTGTAGATCAGTGGTTGAGCATTGACCTATGAGCCAGGAGGTCACGGTTCAACTCCCAGTGGAGGCACATGCACTGGTAGCGGGCTCCATCCCCAGTGTGGGGCATGCAGGAGGCAGCCAATCAATGCTCTCTCTCATCATTGATGTTTCTTTCTCTCCCTCTTCCTTCCTCTCTCTCTAAAAAAATAATAATGATAAATAAAAACTTATTTTAAAAATATGTAATAGTGCCAAGGTCGAGAAACTGTTCTGACCAAAGAATGTGATGGCAGGAAAGCAGAGAGGCGAGGGGGGCTGCTGGGTGGGCTGCTGCTTCCCTTGACGCCATCCACCTCCCAAACCCTTGGGGGCTTGGTCCACTGGAGGAGACAAGTACGTCCAAGCATCGGGCCCGAACCCCGATGCTGCCCACGCACATTCTCCTTTACCCACCCTCCGTGTCACCCCTCCACGGCCTCATTGGTCTCCGTGCTAACCCTAAATTTCACCAGAAAGAGAAAGCAGGTCAGAAAGAGCCAACAGCATCAGACAGGGAGAGAGGAATTTACATCACGGTTGACAGCAGCATTGCATAAGGAGCGCACACACCACTTCCGCAGTGCCCATCTCCTCGCCCTTCCAGTAGCTCTGGATGGGGGGAGGGCCAGGCTTCTGTTTTTAAAGAATTTTCCAGAAAATACAAGTTTGCTTCTGAGCCTGGGAGGGGGAAAGCGCGGAAGGGCCACCGGCCACTGATGGTTGAGGACAAGGAAACGCCTCCGATGGCCTCCAAGGAGCCGGTGGGCAGAGGGAGTTTATGTGGGACCCGCCCTGTCTGAGCCAGATCTGTCCCCCCAACCACAGCGGTGGCTGAGCTGAAGTCAGGGTGGGGAAATCCAGATGTCGGGAAGAGAAGTTGGGTGTGAAATAAGGGAACGCAATGTTGGGGAGAAATTGAGGTTGGTTTGTTTTTTCTCGGCACAATGTCATCCCAGGGGTGGGTGGGGATGGCCTTGCAAAACTGAGGAGTTTGGAGGTCCTTTCCCGTTTCAGGCCGGCCCTTCACCAGCTGCACCGAACTGGAGAAAACACCTTGGCATTGTCCCAGCAGCTGAGCCAGTAAGACCAGCTGGGGGCCAGGATGGTGATTCCAGGCGTGGCCACAGGGGGGAGACACAGGGTTGTGCAATCCCTACGTCTTGCTCCATGGCTAAGCCCAAACAGAAGACTTGCTGGGGTGGGTGTACGGCTTAAAAAACGAGCAGACGTAGGCTTGAGGCCATTTCTACAGCCCCGGTCATCTCCCTAAGGCCTTGGGCAAATTTGGAAGTAACTGCCACCTCTCTGGACCAGCTGTGAATAGACTGACGATAACCAACCTCAATTCACCTGCAAGGATTTGCCATGTTGGCCCTCGGTGCCCAGCACAGCGCTGGGTTGTGAAGAGGAGTCTGGATTGTAACATGAAGGCAACACACACACCAAGGGAGGTTCCATCGAACACCAGCTCACACACCGTGAGCCGGCCCGGGGGGCGGGGGGGGGGGAGGGGCAGCTTTCTCTCACAGGGACCCCCGAAGCAACCCACTCACAGATGCTTCTGAGAAAAGCTTTTTAGATATAGATATAGGTATAGGTATAGGTACATAGACATAGACATAGAAATAGGCATAGGTAGATATATAGATATATAGATATATAGATAGATATAGATGATATAGATGATATAGATGATAGATAGATATAGATATAGATATAGATATAGATATAGATATAGATATAGATATAGATATAGATATAGATATAGATATAGATATAGATATAGATATAGATATAGATATGGGTATGGGTATAGATATGGGTATAGATAGATATAGATATGGGTATAGGTATAGATAAATATAGATATAGATGTAGATGTAGATATAGATATATAGATAGATATAGATATAAGTATATACAGATACAGAATAACAAAACAAATGTGGGAAATGTTTTTAAAATTGGGTGAATCTGAATAATCCCCACACACACTTTTGTCATCTCATTTTTTCTAACTCGAACTCTCTGGCTTCCCTCCGACAAAGCCCCTTGTGATTCCACTGGCCCACCTGGGGATCCAGGGTACCCCCTTCTGTGTGTGTGTGTGTGTGTGTTTCCCCTTTTGCATCTCGGAACAGCAGTAAGGAGAGAGGAGGCACTGGGATGAAGCACATGCTCAGACTGCAAAAATCTGACACCAGATTTTCTGAAAGCTGGGCCCATGGCTCAGAGGAAAGTGCCCCAGAGGCTCAAGGTTGTTGTGATGGCAGCACTGCCACGCCCGGTACCCCGGGGTCAGGGGCCGGCCTCCCTTTCACTTCCGGGACACACACGCCTTGCTTTTAAGGCTTACTTCACATGGGCCACAGCGTGGTGAAGAGCCGAAGCAGAAGCCCTGAGCTTGCACAGCGGAGAGGGCTAGGGCGGGACTGCTGGTGGCTAGCCTGACCCTGACGTGGGGAGAACGCGGGGGGCCGGCCCTGTCCCGCCCAGCGCCGACCTCGGGGTGTCCCCTCCCCTGTGCTTCTCTGTGCCCCTCTGGGATGGAGGCAGGAGCTCTCTTCACTGCAGATGGCAGACGCCAGCAGGCACTGTGCCAATGACGCTCTTCTCTCGCAGGATGGTGTCACCTTTATTGCTGTCTCCTGTATCAGACGGAGCCATGCTCAGAGTCCAGGGGGCCCAGGGCGAGCCGCTGCTGCTGGGTCTGGGCCAGGGCAGCCGCTCCCCGGCCTCCGCCTCCTCGCCCAGAGAGGAGGGTCTGCTCTCAGCTCCTGGGGTCCTCCCTCCCGGCCAGCCAGACACTTGTGTGGCCTTACGAGCTCCTCGGAGGGATGGTGTGTGTGCGCCTCCTTGTCCTGGATCCCGCGGGGCTGAGCGCATCACACCGCTGGAGGAGGCGGAGGAACAGAGTGAAGGTGTGACAGAGCCGGCCCGTGGGAGGGTTCCCGCAGGCCCCAGGCCTGAGGAACAGTCTGCAGCTGCCTTGTGGGAGGGGAGCAGGCTGAGGGGTACGTGGGGGACGGGGGGCGGCCCTGGGCTCCCCACAGAGACCTCCAGGTGGGGAGCGGAGGCGCTACGTCTTCCTAATCACGCTGTACTCGGGCTCCTGCCGCAGGGGCCTCTGGGAGGGACTCTGGTCCTCGGGGTCGTGGTCCTGGGCAGTAAACACCACCGTGGAGTAGTGCAGGTCCTCCCTGGGGGCCTGCTGCGGAAAGAGGCCGGGGCTCAGGGGAGCAGGAACCACTGATGGGGAGCAGGACACCCAGTGGGGGGCCTCAGCCTTCCCCACTGTCCTGCCTTCTTTCCCCTAAGAGGACTGGGCTCCGAGATCCTGCTCCCCCCACTGCCTCCACCCTCCTCCCCTATCCCTCCCTTCTCTTCTCCCCCACCTTCCCCACCACCACCCCTGCTCAAGCCAAACACGAAGCCCAGGCATCAGGGCGGGCCCCGGGACCCACCCTGAGAGCATCAGTCACCGAGTTAGGAAAACAGGGTGTTGTAGTCCCAGGGTCACATGCCCGAGGCCAAATCTCTCCCCATCTTCCCCACCAAGGGCTCCTCTGCTTGGCTTCTTCCACTAAAGGGGGGTTATTGGGAGGTCTGGGGGACTCCTCCTCCAGTTCCTGGTACACTGGCTCTGCCTAAGGACCTGCCTGCAGCCGGTCGTTGATAAGAACTGAAAGCAGAGCTGACACCAAAGAGCTGATGGGACTGAAACAGCAAGAACTCACCGGCCTAACACCGGGCCCATGGCACACAGCAGGTGCTTAATAAAAGCTGTGCTTTATTCGCTCTCAGGGCCGTAGCTCACTGGCCACCCCCTCCCCCACGCCCAGCCCCAAGGACGCCAAGCTCTGGCAAGGTCCACACCAGCCCCGTTTTCTGTGAGGCTCCGTCTTTTGTTGTTGGTGTGAAATCCTCACCCGAGGATATTTCCCATGGATGTTTAGGGAGAGAGGAGGGAGAGGGAGAGACAGAGAGAAACATCGATGTGGGAGAAGCATATCAATTGGTTGCCTTTTCCCTGAGCCCCGACCAGGGCCTGGGCTGGGGAGGAGCCTGCAACCAAGGTACGTGCCCTTGACTGGAATGGAACCCGGGGCCCTTCAGTCCACAGGCTGATGCTCTATCCACTGAGCCACACCGGCTAGGGCTGTGTGGCTCTGTCTTAAAGAGACAGGAAGTCACCCAGCCAGCCCTCCCTTCCCTCTCTGCCCACTGCCACCCCCTTGTGGTGCCTCTGGCATAGCCCAGGTGCCCTGTCCGGAGGGGGGGGGGGCGTACTCACCACCAGGCTGTATTCCACCTCTTCCTCCTGCCTCGGGTGCTTGGGCTCTCCCTGCAGGGGCCTCTTCTGCAGCTCCAGGTTGGCATAGCAGGGCTCACTCTGCGGGGCGGCCTGGGTGGGTGGAAGGCACAGGGCTGGGCAGCTGGCCACGGGGCGCCCGGGGTTCGTCCCAGAGGCCTCTGGGCCTGCTTCTCTGCAGACACCCCCTCCCCTCATGCCTGCCTCCCGCCCCCACGCGGGTCCTCTCTGGGCGATTTGCTCCCTGGTCCGCGGCCAGGCTGGCCCAGCCTCCCTCATTCCCCTTTCCCTGGAGTGGGGAGCAGACTGCTCCAGGCCTGGCTCTTGCTGCTCTGGGTGAGCACCCCACTCCTTGCCTCGATGGTCCCCCCAGACCTCCTCTCACCAACGGGATGGTCCAGCCCCCACCCCTGTGCGCCCCACCACCCGCCGCCCTCCTGGAGGAGCCCCTAACTAAGGTACATGGGCTTGACCAGAATGGAACCCGGGACCCTTTGATCCGCAGGCCGACGCTCTATCCCCTGAGCCATCCCAGCCTGGACCTGGTGGCCTCTCTTACCTGACAGGGGTTCTGCAGGGGCTCCGGATTCCCACCAGCTGCGGATTCTACAGAGACAGGGGGCGGGGTGGGAGTTGTCCCAGCACACGGCGGGGACGGGGCTCCCACAACCCACCTGGGAACGGCCTTTGCCTGCGGACTTCAGCCCTGGGGACCCCGCCTCAGATCGGCAGTGGCCGGACTCAGGGCTTGTGGAGGGGAATGCGACCGAGGGGTGAGTGAGGAGTGACTGAACTCGGTTCCAGTGCCGCACAGGCTCTGCGCCACCTCCCCCTCGGGGGGCAGGAGGGGGCGGTGAGGGGCAGAAAGGGCAGGGGGAAGAGATGGGAGCACCACTGGGGACGGAGGCCGCACTGAGGGGGTTCGGAGGTAACCGCTGGACGTGGGGCCCACTCTACCTGTAACACAGTGGCCGGCACCAGCACAGGGCCGGCGCACAGTAGGTGTGTGAGTGTGTTAGTGTGTGAGTGTGTGAGTGTGTGAGTGAGTCTGTGAATGAGCGAGTAGGTGAGTGTGTCAGAGAGTGAGTGAGTGTGTCAGAGAATGAAAGTGAGTGAAAGAGTGTGTAAGAGTGAGTCTATGTGTATGTGAATGAGTGTGTGAATCTATGTGTGTGTGAACAAGTGTGTGAATGTGTGAGTGTGTCAGAGAGTGTGTGTGAATGAGAGTGAAAGAATGTGAGAGTGAGTCTGTGTGTGTGTGTGAATGAGTATGCAGGAGTGTGTAAATATGTGTGTGAGAGTGTGTGAATGTGTGTGAGTATGTATGTGAGTTGTGAGTATGTGAATGTGCGTGTGTGAATGTGTTTGTCAGTGTGTGAATGTGTGTGTCAATGTGTGAATGTGAGTATGTGTGTGAGTGTGTGTAAATGTGTGTGTGAGTGTGAGAGAGTGTGTGAATGTGTGTGAGTGTGTGAATGTGTGTGTGTGAATGTGTGTGAGTGTGAGAGTGTGTGAATGAGTGTGAGAGTGTGTGAGTGTGTGAGAGTGTGTGAATGTGTGTGTGTGCATGTGTGTGAGAGTGTGTGAATGAGTGTGAGAGAGTGTGTGAAGGAGTGTGAGTGTGTGAGTGTGTGTGCATGTGTGAGAGAGTGTGTGAATGTGTGTGTGTGTGAGAGAGTGTGAATGTGTGTGAGTGTGTGAGTGTGTGTGCATGTGTGAGAGAGTGTGTGAATGTGTGAGTGTGAGAGAGTGTGTGCATGTGTGTGTGAGTGTGTGAATGTGTGAGTGTGTGAGTGTATGAATGTGTGTGAGAGTGTGTGAATATGTGAGTGTGAGAGAGTGTGTGCATGTGTGTGCATGTGTGTGTTGAGTGTGTGAAGCACAGTGAATGGGCGAGTGCCCCAGGCCTAGAGGAGGAATAACGTGTGACACTACATTTAAAGAAACAGGTGCACAAACCGGCAAGGGGGGGCGTGAGAGACTGGAAGGGCGTGCCCACATGGCAGTTTCTCTTCCCTGGGGAGGGGGTTTCAGTTTTATTTCTGACGGGAACTTATTTCCTCCTCTGCGCTTTTACTTGCTTTTGCATTTTCTACAACAATCACGGATCCCCTTTTTAAAGAACTTTCCTAGGTGAAAGGGCATTGCTGGGAGTCACTGACACCACAGATTGAGACAGTCCAGGCTGGGAACCCCCCCTCCTCCTGTCCTTCCCCCTTCCCACCCCACCCCTCTCGGGGAAGAGGAAGTGGCTGACACCCATTCCGCTCCTAAAGGCCCGGCCGTGCTGTGGGAGAGGCTGGGCCATGGCGGGTGGACGGGCTGGAGGAGAAGGGTAAGCAGTGTCCCCCGCAACCCGCCCCCCACGTACACCCGCTCCCAGCCAGCTGCAGCCGGGAGAGAGCATCACCCGCCCGCCCCCCACACCTGGCCGCGGGCTGACGTCTGCATCCCACAGGGACTGCTGGCCGCTCCTCCGTGCTCACTGAACTCACCCACGCGCTCATTGGGCACCCGCTGCCTGAGCGCCAGGCTCCCAGAGCCTCCTCGGACCCGCCTCCCGGCCTGTGTGCACCACACCAGGGTCACCGGCTCTGGGGTCACCGGATATGCAGTCTGAGGGCCCACGCTCCACGCCCACCCTGGCTGGGGGCACGGGGGGCGGGGAGCCAGCTCACCTTTGACCTGCCGCCGCCGCCGCGCCATCCTCCAGGCCAGCAGCGAGGCCCCCACCAGGAACAGCAGCAGAAGCGCCAACAAGATGAGCAGCACGAGGAGCCTGCGGGGGAGGCAGGGGCAGAGTGTGGGCGGGGCCCTGGCCTCCGCCTTTGTTTCAATACATACATGAGGTCAGGGCCTGGCTCAGGGGTTGAGCATCGACCAGGAGGTAGTGGTTCGATTCCCGGTCAGGGCACAGGCCTGGGTTCTGGGCTCAATCCCCAGTCGGGGGGGTGCAGGAGGCAGCCAATGGATGGTTCTCTCTCCTCATTGATGTTTCTGTCTCTCCCTCTCCCTTCCTCTCTGAAATCAATAGAAATATATTTACAACAGACAGCAGAACTCCTCCTTTCTTGTATTCAGATACAAGAAAACATGGATGTGTGGTATTTTCAGGCCCTGACACCTGAAGGCGGGCAGTCCTATGGGACGGAGCCCCGACCTGTGGGGTCTGCGTCAACGCCGGGCGTCAGGGCGGGGACTGAATGTGGTCTGGGACAGCTTGCGTTTTTCTGGAAAGTCTACATATGTAGTCAGATCCTCCTGGGGCACGTGGCCCCCCGAAAGGTCACGGATCACCAGTTTAGAAGGAAGAACAGAAGCTTCGGTGTCGGGCCCCAGAGCTTGTGCTGGAAGCCCAGCCTGCCTGCAGCCACAGGCCGGCACAGAAGGTATCAGTGTGGGGAGGGGGGATAACAGCTGCTCTCATTAACGTTACCTTCCTTCTTCCCCCCACTCCTCCCCCACAAGCTTCGCTCAGACCCCAAGGGCTGTGTGGGTAACCAGGAGAGACAGCCTGTGGCTCCCAGCTGGGCCTGGAGCAAAGGGGCCGGAGGTTCCCCCAGGAGGGGTGTGACCCCCTCCTCCCCCAACACACACACACCCGGGGCCACACTCCCGGAAGGGGGGGGCGCCCTGTGCTCCCCTGAGGAGAAGCCCCTCCCCGGATCCCGGGGCGAGGGCGCCTTACCCGTGGCCCGGGCCCGGGCCCTGCGGCAGCGGGGTGCTGTCCTGGCTGTTCCTGCTGCGGGTGCCGTTCCCTGCCGGGGCTGTGGGCACAGTCTGGGTTCGGGCTGTGACTGCAGAGGGCGTGGCTGCAGGGGTATTTGTGGTCATAGTTGATGTGGAGATTGGTGCTGGTGCGGAAACACGAATCAGGCCCAGGCTGTCTCCTGACTCAGTTCACCCCGGATGTCCCCGCTCCCCCCCTTCCCTCCTCTCCCCCTCCCCCCGCAGGGCCCAAGCCTCCCAGGACCGTCCTGCCCCGGGCAAGCGAGCATTCCGAACAGGACGCTGTATCTCCCCCAACAGCCCCCGTTCCATCCTGCCCAGGAGGTCACCGTCCTCCAGAGGGGCCCCAAGTCCCCCACACCCTGTCTCGCCCCCGCGGCCACCGCCACGTGCTGCCCCCCTGCCACGTGCTGCCCCCCGCCCCCGCCACATGGTACCCCCCCCACGCGCTGCCCCCCCAGAGCAGTCTGCTTCGATGGAGTCGGCCACCCCACTTGTTGGAGTCTGCTCACTCACACCTTCAGCCCCAGCCTTCTCCACGCAGGTCTGGGCTTCCATG